TTCTGCTATATGTCTCTAATATATTTACTGTCTATTGGTATTTAGTTCAATCTTCATATGGTTTTCATGCTCTTTGACAGTTGTTTTTACGAAATGATTATAGCGGTTCTTTTTTTGGTTTAACTGTTGTTATCTATTGATGACCAAAAATTTGTTTTCTTCATGTATAAATAAAGACTTCTATTGTATTCTTATAATTTGTAATTTTGTTTCTCACTGTTTTCCTTCTCCAACTATTATATTATACTCTTTATAAACTACTTGATATAACACTTCTAATACTATCTTTGATGTTTTCTGGATACTAGATTCTCTTTGGCTTCGTCGGTTTTGGATATTGGGCTTACTCTCTTCGTTGTTCTGCTTTGATTTAGGTACTTTTCTCTTAATATATGCATGTATTTATGTTTTATTGTTTTCATTCTTTATTGTCGTGTTTAGTTTGAAATTGATTATCATTATTTATATTGATTTTTACCTTCTGGATATGAATATTTTACTTGGTTTGATTAATAGAAGTTTCTATTGTTCATTCGTTTTGATTATGTGAATATAATTAAAAATTAACTCTTTTCCCCCAGTTTTAAATATTGCGTCTTTTTTTTGGTCTTTGTTTTGGAGATTTTTTACTTATACTGCATCAACTCTGTCCACTTTCATTCTTCGTCTGAGGTACTCATTTCTTACTACTTCCATGTTACTTTTAATTACTTTAAAGACTATGTATTATATTTCTATGAGTTGTGATGTCTATATATTCAGTTGTTCGTATATCTGTTTATTATTTTATGTTGTTATGATTGTGTTTGTCTTGAGTTTGTTATATAATTTTTAACATACTGTTCAGTATTTAAATTGTATAAGTTATTGTTATTTGGGTAAAAATTTAGTTCCTATTTTGTTTGTTATTTTAATCTGTTAGGAGTCCGTTTTGTGTTGCACTGAATAGTTTTGCTAAATCACATTTCAATTACTTATGATGCATGATGTTAGCCATTCAAGGAAAATACCTCAACCAAATTTTCCACATGTGTTTGTTTGTTTATTTTTCCTTTCTATTATCCATGTAATCTGCTATTTTACATGAGTTTTTTCTGTTTTCTATACTTTCATAAGATTTTCCATTAACGTGGAGACTATTTTTATGGCATGTTTGCAGCTTCATTATAGACGTTGTATAAAGAATGTATGCTGCATCTATAAAACAATGAATGAAAAAAATTTATTTCCTTATAATTGAAAGAGAAGACATTATTTGAGTTTCTGTATGTGTGTCATAGTATATTTACACTATTAAAGATTTATTAACAGAGTTTGGCCGGCGTCTGAAGATGCAACATTGCTATTTCGATTTATCAGCAAATGAAAGTTTCAGATACAACAGTAGAGTAGTAAGAATGTGAAAATATGTATATTATGTGAATATTAATGTAAACTTATTGTAAATAATATTTTTTTCCGTCTGCTTTTGAAGCGTTTGTATGTTGTGTAATTATTAATGATACAAACTTTTATGGGATGTTTGGAACAATGGTTCGTTTCTAGTTTTGAATTATGACTCTTGATTCTTTATCGTGTTTTTCTCTCATAAAAAATTTAAATTTTAAAAATCAGACTCATAAATAACTCATGAGTTAAATTTTAAGCAGATATGTTATTTCCTTCAAATCTATATCGTTGAATAAAGAATAAAGTGACATTTCTGTACGATACACACTTTAATTGTGCTCTGTAACGACATAGATATTTTTAGTAAAATTTCACATGTCACACATATTTTAAATTTATTTGTAATGTATCACATTTTCTATAAACTTTTAAATATCTTTTCCATATATTTTTTTGCAAAATAATTAATAATTTAATCATTGTTGAATACATTTTCTCATTTAAATTATTATTAGTTAAATCATCAAATATCTGTGCAATTGCACGGATAATTCACTAATATATACTAAAAGACATACATGATTTACTGTACAAAGTACAGTGAGATACCGGTTTTACTCCTTAAATTTGAATTGTTGAGTTTAGTCTTTTTTTTTCTTTCTTCTCCCTTTTTTGCACGGGATTTTTGGGGTTTTTCTTACCCTATAGTTTGATTATACACTTTTATCTTCTATTTTTTATTTATTTATTTGTTCTCATATTTAATAATTTAAATCAATTACCAATAAAAATTAACATTTATTATTTTGAATATATATCATAACAATCTTTTATTATTTCAGTTCTGAATCAAAACAACAGACTCATCCAAAAAAGGCCCAAAAACTAGATAATATAACTACTTCTAAATACTTTGATTTACACTACATATAATTAACAATTTTCAACATCCTTAATTATTATTATTAATTTTTTAAAATTTATATTTTACAGTTAAGAGGAACAAAAGAAAAAAGGAAAACAAAAGCTATAATACATTGTAAACTTTTAACTAGAATATTATATAGATATATCTATATGTATATATGTATATATAAACTAATCCTATACTATAAAAATTCTCAACTTTTTATATAATATAACAATTTTTCCCATAACAACGTGCGCGGACTTTTGACTAGTATTATCCTATATATTTTCATTATTTTACAACATAAATATTTACTAATTTCTGTCAAATTTTTGTTTTCACAAAATCTTTTTGATATAAACAAAGCAGCCGCATGGATTTTTCAATAATAGAGACGATTAAAACTTTATCAAAATACTTAGGCCTGGTGTATTTCACCCATTTGAGTTCTTAGTTTTAAGTTTCTACAGTTAAAAATTCTCAAAAAATAACACATCTAATTTTTTTTACTACAGTTAAAAACTTTAAAAAAAATATCACATCTCAATTCGAATTGAAAATTTAAATCTGTAAAGCGAACGAGATATTAACAATTTATGTCTTGTTTTAGTGTTATAGCTAGCACAGAAAGGAATCATTCCTAAATCCATTTTTTTTTAATTTATTGTTATATAACTAGCTTACAAAAGAGCCATGTGTGCCCCATATGCAATAACCAAAAAAAAAAATGAAACTACTTAGGCCTCGTTCACTTCGTGGATTCGAGTTTTCAATTCGAGCTGAGATGTGACATTTTATGAGAGCTTTTCACTGTAGTAAAAAAAGTTAGATGTGACATTTTCTGAAAGTTTTTTACTGTAGAAACCTAAAGCTGAAAACTCGAATCGGTGAAATGAACGATGCCTTACTCAACAAGTTTCGTTAAGAAAATTTTGACAAATTTCAATGAATGCTTGGCAGTTTGCAATATATATTAAAGAAAAGAGCACAAAAGGTAATATGTAAAAAATTATTATCATATGAAAAGGATAAAGTGCCATAAAATAGTATAATTGAGAGGCAGTAAAATGCAATTTTTATCGTATAACAAGAGCTATTCCTTTTCATTACGGTAAGAACTGATGCTAAACTGTTGAAGCAATTCGGCAATAATTTTCATGTTAAAAATGTAGGGCGCAACAGTTTTACTGTTCTCGTTTGTTAATTAAATTATGACAAAATTAATCTAACAACTCAAATAATAATACCTATCGACAATGAAAAAAATAATTTTTACTATAAAACAACAACTATCGGGAGTTAAAAAATATACCACAAAAGTTCTCCAACAAATATTGTTTTCTCACTCGAATAATAATAACAACAATAATCTATATACAATATATAGAAATACGAATAGCGTTTACGTGTTTCTCGGATTTTGAACGGTGACGTTTTGGTTAAAATCCCCCCCTTTTTTTTTTTTTTTTTTTTTTCAAGTCCTTCCTTCCTTCCTTCTTGTTTTTTTTTTTAATTATTTTTTACGCTAAAATTTGTTTATTTTGGTACTTTTTTTTACTCTTTTTTTTTAATTTTTCTTTGAAATTTTATTTCTTTTCCGTTTTTATTCTTTTTATCATAAAATTTATTTATTTGTTCATTTTAATCTTTTTTTGATCCCTTTTTATTTTGTTTGAAACTTTATTTCTTTTTCGTTTTGATTTCTTTTATCTTAAAACTTATTTATTTTTTATTTTATTCTTTTTTTATTTTTGTTCTAAAATTTTAATTTTTTCGTTTGGATTCTTTTTGTCTTAAATTTAATTTATTTCTTCATTTTAATAATTCTTTAACTTTTTTTTAAAATTTTTGTCCTGAGATTTTTTTTGATTTAGATTCCTTTTGCTTTAAACTTTTTTATTTCATCATTTGGGTCATCTTTTGACCTTTTTTTATACTTTTTCCTAAAATTTTACTTTTTTTCATTTTTTATTTCTTTTATCCTAAAGCTTATTTATTTTTTTATTTTGATAACTTTTACCTGGAGACTATAGTTTTTTTATTTTGGTATCTTTTATCTTAAAATTTATTTATTTATTTATTTTGATCATGTTCACTTTGCGGATTTAAGTTTTTAATTTGAGTTGAGATGTGATATTTTCTGAGAGCTTTTAACTATAGTAAAAAAATTAAATGTGACATTTTCTAAGTGTTTTTAACTGTAAAAACTTAAAATTGAAAAGTCAAATAAGTGAAATGAACAAGACTCTTTTTTTATTCTTTTTTTGCCTTCAAAACTTAAATTTTTTTAACTTTTTTCTTTGTTGAGATTTTGTATTTAAATTTTATATACTTTTAATAATAACAAAATAATTAAAACTTAATGCTCGGATTACTCATGAAATTGAACTAGTAACAATCAAAAGAATGAATCAAGCTGGTTGTTCTACTACTACTACTGCAAAAAAAAAAAAAAAAAAACAACATGCAAGTTCAGAAAGAGTACGAAACAAACAAATTTAAAACGTAAGACACACACACACACAACACATTCTCTCTCTAAAGTCTGAAGTGAAGAAGTGGAATGGATGAGTTTCTCTCTCTAGGAAGCCGCCACGTCATTTCTCTCCCGCTTTATCCAACCACCGCCTGCCGTCCCCAAACAAACGAACCCCTCAAACAATACTCTCTCTCTCTCTCTCTCTCTCCCTCTCCCTCTCCCTCTCCCTCTCTAGTTGAGCTGTTCCACACTGTATCCGCTGGGCCCCACTCTCTCTTTCTCTCTCTAAAAGTCTCTCTTTACATTTCTGATTTCTGATTTCTTCTTCCAATTTGCTTCTTTCTATATGAAATCTATAAATAACGCCCAACTTTCTCTCTCCTCTCTCAAGTCTCAACTCAAAGTCTCCTCTCCTCCATACACGCTCAGACTCCTCTCATCTCTTCCTTCTCTGATATAAAATCAATTCATCTATATCTACATATATAAATTAAAATTTTTTTTTGAAAATAAAGAAGGAAAAAAAATGCCTGCTTGGTGGGGGAGAAAGTCGAGCAAGCACAAGGAGGAAAATCAAGTACAGCCAAATTCACCGTCGAACAATCACCATCACGGATTCTTTAATTCTCCGGCGAGGACCGCCGACAAGAGGAAAGGTAAGGAGAAGACCAAGAGCTTCGACGGGGTTTTGACTCGCGGTTCGCCTAGGCGGAGCAGGGAATTCTCCGCCGGCGGCGGCGGAGGTGGAGGAGGAGGACCGTCGTCGGCCTTCTCTGGATTCGATTCCGACGGGTGTCGGGGCCTACCGCTGCCAAGGCCGTCGGTGTCGTCGACACCGGGGTTGGGAAACGATCATGGCGTCGGATTGGGATCTGGCTCGGCGTCGGTGTCCAGCGTCAGCTCCTCGGGGTCGTCCGAGGATCACGCGAATGTTCATGAGAATGGCCAATTCGGTGCTTTCAGGTTCGAATTTGAACTTTCGATTGGGTTCTCATTTCCGATATCCAAAAATTAGGTTTTCGGAACAAAACAATTTGATTGATTTTTTGATTTCTGGTATGGGCGATTCTGAAATTTGTCTGCAATTTTGGGGATTTTGTTTCTTAATTGAGAATATAAAATAAAGTAAAAATCTTTCATTCTCTCTCTCTAGGCTCTGCTGTCAGAATTGGCCGGCTTTGTCTGTGGGGAGGATTTCTTCATTTTAGGTCCAAAATCCCACACGTGGGTCTGCCTGCCATACCTTCTGTTCTGTTTTCTCATCTTTCTCTCTCTTGTTTTTTTTTTTAATTTATTTTTTAAAACTTTATTACTTGAAGTTTTTCCCATATCCGTCTGTCTGTGTTTCCATGTAGATATATATGTTATCTTTCCGGATTTGGTGATGGTTACGAGGATAATTTAGTTAATCAAATTCAATTAGAGAACTATTAGTTAATGGGTTGAAGAATAATTATTAATGAACACTTCAAAATCTTCTCAACTTTCTTAAGACGGATGATTTGAATTAGTTCTTCTAATAACTAACATGTCTTTCCTTCATTAGTGAAATTTAAGATATTGTCTTTTCAATGTATGTGGGAACTTGGGATAATTTGCTGATAAGAGTAATTTACAGTTACACGACAACTAATTTGATCTATTTTTGGAGTCTGTCCGCAGTCTTAAATATAGGAGATTAATAGATAAAAAGGGATCAAATATATATTTTAATGTATGGTTCTTCAAATGCTTATCTCTGTGTGATCAATGTTATATTTTGATACCAGAGGGCATGCTGATGCCAAGTTTAAGACAAGGCCAAGAAGCCCAGGTCCAGGGTCTACCAGCCCCACATCACCTCTCCATCCAATGTTGTCTGGCATGAGTATGGAGTCTCCAACAGGAAGGCAAGAAGATGCAAAAAGTCAATGTCACCGTCTCCCGCTTCCACCGGGTTCGCCTACAAGCCCTTCTGCCTTGCCCAGCATTAGAACTAGTGGAGTCCCTGAAGTTACAACTTACACACTCTCAAAATGGAAGAAGGGAAGGCTTTTAGGAAGGGGAAGTTTTGGTCATGTTTATACTGGATTTAACAGGTAAGTGTTGGTCTAATAAATTTGCAGTCACTAGAATTCAATAAAAAAAAATCTAATGCTAGAAGGACATTAGATAGGTATCTGTTTTCACAACGAGATGAAAAGAAATGCAGGGTCTTCGTGTTGCCTTGTATCTTATTTTATTTTATTTTATTTCAAATTTTTACTTTCTAAATGTTGTATTCTAAATGTTGTATTCTTAACTTCATCAGTGAAGGTGGACAAATGTGTGCAATAAAAGAAGTCAGGCTTGTTTCCGATGATCATACATCTAAAGAAAGTTTAAAACAATTGAACCAGGTATTTCTTTTGTCTAGTTAGTACTTAGTTGCCTCTGGTTATATCATGCGTTATGCTTTCCTCATATCCTGTTTGGTTTTTATTGTCCTTTTACCTGTTGACTTGCCATTCACCATCTGGTAATCTGGCCATCAATGGATTTCTTATTCACTTTACCATTTTCAACAGGAAATAAATTTGCTTAGCCAGCTCTCACATCCAAACATAGTGCGATACTATGGAAGTGAATTGGTATGAGTTTATATATTTCTTTGAAATCCAATGACTATCTATCCACATGCAAATGATGTGTTTTTTGTGCACCGAATTGTAAATGCTCAAATCCCTATGAGAGAGAGCGAGAGTGAGAAAAGGATCCTTTCACGTTAGCATATGGTATTAATCTTAAAGTCGGCCCATGTTTGGTAACTCTTTTAACTCGTCATGTTCTCAGATTGATGATACACTCTCGGTTTATTTGGAATATGTGTCTGGTGGCTCAATCCACAAATTACTTCAAGAATATGGCTCCTTTAAGGAACCTGTCATACAAAACTACACCAGGCAAATTGTTTCTGGGCTTGCTTACTTACATGGGAGAAACACGGTACATAGGTGGGTTGTAAACATGTGGTTATTGCTTCAAAATGTTGTCAAGTCAGTGAGAATAGTTTTGCTAACGTGTTTATGTCAATGGCAGGGACATCAAAGGGGCAAACATTTTAGTGGAAACTACTGGTGAAATCAAGTTGGCAGACTTCGGCATGGCTAAACATGTATAATTCATTTCAGATTCTGCTCAATGAGACTATTTTTCAGAATAGTGAAGGAAATAATATCAACTTATTGTTTGTAAAATCTTGTTGATCTCTTGCAAACAAAAATTCCACTATTAGGAGGACGAATGCAGTAAGTCATGTATATTGTGCTTCCTTGTTTCCAAAAAGACGGGAAAGGAAAAATGTTTTTCTATGAGATACTAGATAGTACGGTAGAAAAATATTTTGAGTGGAAAACTATTGGCAATTGGCAAGAGTCTTTGTCCTATTTTTATTGTCTGTATTCACTGGAACAAACTTGAGCTCATGGGTGTGTTGTGCAAATGTAAAGAGCATTTTGGATTAAATATTTCACTGATAAAATCAGAATTAGTATATGGTTTCTTTCCCCTGGTACTGAAAGTTAATTAAAGTGCAGGGAGTCTAATGCTTTTGTGTTGTGGATCAGATTACAAATTGCTCGTCGATGCTCTCTTTCAAGGGAAGTCCGTACTGGATGGCCCCTGAGGTACTTCTCCAATTCAACGTCTCAGAAAAAACCAAAGACAAGAATGTTGCCCTACCTCTTCATCCTTGTTCTTTTTCCCTACTTTTTCTTTCTGTTGATGCAAGTATGCTAAGGTTGTTTCCTTCTCTTTATGTTTTAGGTTGTGATGAATACAAATGGCTACAGTCTTGCAGTGGATATATGGAGCTTAGGGTGTACTGTTCTTGAAATGGCAACATCAAAACCTCCTTGGAGCCAATATGAAGGGGTGCGATATAATGTTCACAACACGTTTCTATAAAACTAGTGTGTTATCACCAGTTATTATTTTCTCATAGGACCAACTTTCTTCCATTGTCTTTGATTTAATAGGTGGCTGCAATATTTAAAATTGGCAACAGCAAAGATATGCCAGAAATCCCTGATCATCTTTCAAATGATGCAAAGAGTTTCGTGAGACAATGCTTGCAACGAGACCCGTCTGCACGTCCAACAGCCTCCCAGCTACTAGAACATCCTTTTATTCGAGAGCAAACAATCACAAGAACAGCTAATACCACCATAATGAAGGATGCTTTTCCCTTTGCCTTTGATGGTAGCAGGACACCGGTAAAGCCTTCAAGAAACTTCTATCTTAACTGGTGGATATTTTATATTATTTTGCGTAAATGTCTCCTATGTGATGGAGGAATGATGATGAAATCTAGTCTGTATATGTGTGAATAAAATTTCTTCTTGAGAAACTAAGTAAAATTTACAAGACATGATGGAAGGGTTTCGAAAAGTCGGGTTTTGAGTAAAGCAGTGAGCTAGTGAAAGGTTATTATACATTTATAAGAATCTGGTTAGTGGGATTGAGATCCATTTACCCTGCATCTTCTTGAAATATTTTGTCATGCGTGGAATTAGAGTGTAGGCATCCACATAGTTGCATATTGAGCAAGTTGATCTGCTAATTGGATTTTTTTGACACTGTAATGCTCCACTTGTTTTTGTTTAATCGGCATAGCCCTGTAAAACACCAACTTTTGTGATGTCAAAGTATGGTCTCTTTTACTTGCAGGTATTAAAACTGTTTGCAACTTAATTCTTACGGTTCCTTTTTTTTTTTCCAAGCAGCCAGTTCTCGAGTCTGTGGTCGCACCTTCTAGTGGCACAAGGAGCCCCAGGTAATAAGCCTTTCCTGTACCATTCTTGTTCATGTTTGTGCTTCTACTATGATAATGTGACATCCGTACCATGTGCGTGCAGAGACAACGCAAGAACAATAGCATCCTTGCCCGTATCGCCTTGTTCTAGTCCATTACGGCAATATGGAGCCACACACCGGAACTTCTTTCTTTCTCCGCCTCACCCAACCTTTGCTATGATGGGGCAAAATGGTTACAATATGAATGCTTACTCTTCCTATCCACTACGATCAAATGTGTTATACACTCTCGATCCGTTACGCGAAGTACCTCTGCTTAAAGCCCAAACACCTGGTGGATCCCCAAGGACAAGACCCATTTGAGTTCGTATATGTCCCCACAAACCGGGGGTTTTCGCCGCCCGGAAAGCCTCAATGAACTGGAACCACTTGTCCAGAAGTTGATTTTGATCTTGGAAGCTATATCTTAGCTTACCCCTTTTGTAGGAATGAGTGTTTGGGAATGTTGAAAGGGGACATAAGGGTCACTCACAACCCTAAAATATGGCTCTGAGAGAGAGAGAGGGTGGATTTTCTTGATCATGTAACAGCAGTAGCTTCTTGATCTTGATTATTGTAAATGGAAGGTGATAAATGTCTGAAACAACTATGTTGTACATCACTTAAATGGCAAAAGGTCATTTCTTATACCAAACCAGTTTATTGTAAAGATGACATTTTCTACTTTGATTTCAATTAGTTATTTTCCTCCAACTGATTTTCTTTTTTTTCTTCTTTCCTTTTCGGGGTCGAAACGAACCAACTTTGAAGAAAATAGAACTTTCATGGTTCTTTAAATATATATATATATATATATATATTAGTGGTAGATATTGTTCTTTAACCGTACGATATACGAGTATCCAAATTAAAATTAGTGGTAGATATTGTTCTTTAACCGTGCGATATATAATTTTTACATTTATAAATTAAACTCTTGAAAAATTTAATTTCAACTTTTACATTTATAAGTTAAACTGTTGAAAATTTTAATTTCAACAGTTAATACAACGGTAAGAGTCAGTTGTCCCACACCTGTGAAAGCCTAGTTCATCCACGTTTCAACATCCAAGCACAAGAAAATGCACTCAATAGAAGTCAATCCAAGCACGGGAAAATGCACTTAACAGAGCCAATTTGGTGCATTATATAGTTTGAGGGTTCAAACCATTCAATTTCTTTTGTAAAAAACTTAAATTTAAAAAGTTTTTTCACAGTATTTTTTCTTATAAAATTTAAATTATAAGCCAAACAACATGATTTAAACTCTTAAACCAAACAAGCACGTGTAGATGGGCAGTGAATGTGATCTACTGACAGACAAGACAAGCTTTCAAGTAAAATAAACAACTGGTTGTGAAAGCAACATAATATCTCTCAACATTAATTAGTTGAAAATGAACGAGATCTCTTTCAACAAAAACAGAATTAGACCCTTATCTATATGCCTCTTAAAATGATGACAGCCATTGCTTTTAATAATTTCAATGAGGTCTCTTTTAACCAAAACGGATTTGATCTTTATCTACATGCCCCTCAAAATGACGACAGTAATTGCTTTTGCTCTTCATCTCTCAACATTAATATCACTGCTTTCTAGAAAAATACGATGTCAAAAACACGAGATTCCAGAGTGATAATCTTGTTAATTATCAAACCTTAATATGAATTTATAGACCATGAGTCTGATTTCTCAATTTTCAATGCAATTGAAACTTTGTGAGAAGAGGAAGACTCCCTCTAGTGCTTTGGAAACGTGGCTCAAACTTTTGATTCACATGGATGCAGATTAACTCTACATTCCCAAAATTACATCAAAAACAAAAAGTTGTTCCAACATCATATCCTTGTCTGAACTCCTGTAATTCACTACTAAAAAGTTAGAAGAGGGCAATTTTGTATAGTCGGGCCAGTAAGATTAGGGAATGAAGGCTTTTGTTGTTCTTGTTGATGCTCTGTTACTGATTCATCGCTGTGGAAACATACTCTAGATCTGACAAATACTCAAATTCAACCGAACAAGATTAGTGAGCAAAGAAAGCCAATTAGGAAGTGCCTCACCAGGATAGTCATAAGCGCTCAAATGCTTCTTTAGCATTCTCGATCCTTTTTTCTAGTCTCCATACAAACGTTAAGGACTCTAGATATCCCTTATCCTTTAAATCCTTGACGGTTAAACTCCAACGCAAGCTTCTAAGCTTGCTCAAACTTGGTTGTCAATCTCTTTCTCCTGCTCTGCAGCAAGAAGCACTGCTTTGATTGTGTTGATGGTGGCCACAAGTTTTCGGAGCTCGTCCTTAAACCACAATGGCAGGCAGTCTGATATTTTTGAAAGGTTCAGAAGCCACGTTTGCAACGAATCCTGCAACAATGTTGAGGAGCACTCCTTCGGCCATTAGTAATATTAGGAAACAGAGAGCCCAAACAACAGAAATAATCAGAACAACAGAGTGCTTTAGAGAACAGAGAAAAGAAAAGAGATGATTATTGGCAGTGTGAGAAGTGATCATTTTTGCGTGTAAATGATTATCTAAATGTAATCAGTTTTGCTAATCATGCATGCCGGCCGCCAAAGAAAAGCATTTTAACGTTACTGATTTGAATAATTACGTTGCGCTGTTAAATCCCACCAAAGAAAAAGCAATAGAAGGTTCCCCCACCACAACGGCATTTCGCTTTTGTAACCTTTTTTTTTTTTTTTTTTTTTTTTTTTTTTGTTTCCTCAACTTTTTGGAAAAATCTTACTATTTTTTCAAAGACTTTTCCTATTAGGATTCCCGTCAGTGGAGTGGAGCTGCTTAATTAGAAAAGTTATCAATTCCTAACATTCTAATTATTTAAATGGAACTAGCTGTTGGCTTCTTCAGCTGTAAAATGAAGCCGTTTGAAAAATTTTATTAGTAAAATAATTTTTTAAAAATTTTTATTTATAAAATGACCTTATTTTATAAATAATGAGTAAATGTCTTTTTTTATGAAAAATAAAAAAAATATCATTTTGTTAATTTTATTTTGTTAAAAAATTATTTTAACATATTGCCCTTATTTTTCAAGAAAAATTCTAAGAGAGAGGATTAAATTGGACTACTTTAAAAATTGAATTGCAAGTTAGTCAAAAATTTTGTCCATCAGAGAGAGGTCTTTGTAAAAATTACTCAATAAAAAATTTTATTAGCAAAATAATTTTTATAAAATTTTTATTTATAAAATAATTATAACTAAAAATGATTATTTTTTTACGAAAACAATTGGGTAGTCGTTCTTGATAAAAAAAAAAAAAAAAGGATTATTTTGTGAATTTCACGATGTTAGACAATGACTCAAACAAATTTCTCAGTTAGAGATCCTAACGAACAAGTACAACAACAATGGCAACTCTTTGACTCTTGAGAGACTGATAAGATGAGAGAGTAAACAATTTGGCAATGAATCTTCTCTCAACCTCCATTAATATCACTTCCTCCTCTTCTCGGCATCTTCTTCTACCTCCTCTGCACTCCACATCGTTCTCCAGGTTAGACTTTTCATTTCGACATTTCGTCGAACATTTGGTGCTCATAGTTGATACTGTCTGTTTTCTCTTTGGCTTTCGTCTTATCTGGGTCTTCTCTCTAATGGGTTCTTTTTGTTTTCCCTTGTTTGTTTTTGTGTTTCTGTTTAAGTGCAGTAGTAATGTTGCTACTGAGAATAATAATAATGTTGCCATTGAAGGTCGGAATTTGAGTTTCTGGGTATCCACAGCTAAGCAAGGAAAAACAAAAACATTGCCAATTCTCAATGATTGCTCGCTTCGCATTCCCTCGGGGCAGTTCTGGATGCTTCTTGGTCCCAATGGCTGTGGAAAATCTACTCTTCTCAAGGTTAAGTATAATAAAAAGAATAAAAAGAAAAAGAAGGAAAAATCCAAATCTAATTCTTTTTTTTTTTTCCATGTTTTGGTTAACTATCGGTGTCCATTGATTGTTGTAGATTTTGGCTGGTCTTTTGAATCCAACAAGAGGAACTGTTGTTGTAAAGAGGCCTAAGAGCTATGTTTTCCAAAACCCAGACCATCAGGTTAATTCATTTCATTGCAAATTCATTCATTCCCTTTTACTGGATTTGATTTCTACTTTTGGATCTTAAAAAAAAAAAAAACAGAGAAAAAAATTCTAGTTCCATATTTGATTTCCCAAAGCTATTGAGCTCGAGTTGGGCCATTTAGTATGAGAACATGTCTTTTAGCTTATCATCACGGTATTCTTTTATTAGAAACTACCTACATGAAGCAAGTTAATAATTTGATGGATTGATTGGAAATTTAGACCTTTGTATGGTTTCAATATAAATAAGAGTATATGAGAACATGCCTCTTTAGTTATCATCACGGTGAGCTTTTATAGGTATCTATGGGAATTTATAATCGAACTTTTACAAGGATTTGGGATTTTTGATCGATTGGGGAACAAAAACAAACATGAAGGGGTCAGGTCTGTTCATGAGCCAGTGGCATGAAATTTTCAATGAACTAAGAAACTTGGAAGATTTCTATAACTGCTCATACAAATAGGGTCCGTCTGAACTTTTACTTTGTGAATTTCTTTCGAAAGTGCATGAAAAAGGAAACTTTGATTAAGGAAACACTTTATGGGATGGGCGCTAGAAAGTTAGGAGGGAAAAAAACGAGAAGAAAAGAAAATAAAAAAAGAGTCCATATCCTGTAGGATTGCAGAAAAGAATATAGCTCGATGCCGTTGGTTTTAAGGTGCTTTACATCATATTTTTGTCGTCATAGAGCTTGAAAAGAGAGGAGATATATCATCTAAAACTACTTTGTTGAAGAGGATTCGTGCCAGAAAGTGGTTTACTGAATAAGTTATGATTGAAGGAGGTTGCCCGTTGTCTGGATATTGTCGTGTACGAAGTATGATTTTGATTCACATCTTGCTTGCAAGTTCAAACTTTACATAATCGTGATAAATTTACGCGTTTCTGCCGATGTTTGAGAATTACTAATTTGATGAATTGATTGGGAATTCAGACTTCTTTTTACGGTTTCAATAAAAATAGAGAATGAGAACATGTCATATCTTCTTAGTTATCACGATTCATGAATTTATAATGGAACTTTTGCTTATGCTGCAGGTGGTGATGCCAACAGTGGATGCAGATGTTGCATTTGGCCTTGGTAAGTTCAACCTTACCCGTGACGAGGTCAAATTTAGAGTGTCAAAAGCTTTGGATGCTGTTGGCATGCTTAGCTACCAGCAGGTAAGTTAACAGCCACTATCTAATTATGCCAATGTTTTCATAATTGTTAGCACGAGTTTTCACATTTACGTTTCACAGCGGTCGGTTCAAACTCTCAGTGGTGGTCAGAAGCAAAGGGTTGCTATTGCTGGTGCCTTAGCTGAAGCATGTAAAGTTCTCTTGTTGGATGAACTTACAACTTTTTTGGATGAAAGTGATCAGGTAATTTTTCCTAGGTATTGTTTTTACGGAAATAGGAAGCAAGAGAAGTTTGACCAAATATTGTTGCAGTCGCGAATCATTTTAAACTCAAGGTATCACAGCATCCACCTTAAATAGGGTGAAGCAAAAAATAAAGCTATACTTAGATTACAGGCTGCTGAGTTAATTGCTATTTTCACATACGGCTTTCGTCTTGGCGCAGTTAAATCAGTTGCTTGACTGCATAATAAATTTTCATGAAAGACTAATATCTATTTATGTTTTCTTTTTATTTTTCTTTTTCTTGGGTGATTTATTTCATGACTAGCTTGGGGTGATCAAAGCCGTCAGGAATTCTTTGGATAGTTCTGGAGACGTTACAGCCTTGTGGGTGACACATCGATTGGAAGAACTTGAGTACGCAGATGGTGCTGTTTACATGGAAGATGGGAGAGTCGTCATGCATGGTGATGCGGTGGGGGTTATGAATTTCATTAAAGCAAGACAAGCAGCTTATATCAAGCAAATCAACTCTTGAAAATAAGAAAAAAAAAATCCCCCTTTCTAGTCAGAATCATTTCTCTGGTAATTATTAGTCATTATCATTTTTTTTTTTTTTTATCATTGCTCATTGTTTCGTATATCATTTATTTTTCCTGCTATGGGTCTTCTTTACATAGGTTGTCAAAAATGAAAATTCATTGATGATCACATTTTTGCCTTGCAGTTTCTGGAATTCAAAAGTTAGCATTCAATGGATTCAGAGCCATCGATACTCCAATCTTGATATTTTCATCAACATTACTGTAGAGATATAATTATAATCAAGAAATGCATAAACTTGTGTTATATATTGCCGTGAAAATCTGGCTCATATTTTCAACTAGACGTCGGGTACAAATTCCACTTCTTGTTCTTCATGTCTCAATTTAACCAGATCTTCAACCATTGAAAAGGGTTCAAGAAGAAAACATTACTGAGCTTCTGAAAGAGCATTCTAGTAACTAATCAGAAAATTGTTGCATCTCAGACATGTATAAGTTGTTTAGTATTTGAACCAAAATTCAAATTTTTTATGAGAAAAAAAAAACTGTAGCAGAACTGTTTAAGCATTTCTTTCGTATATGGTCATGTGGGCAAACAAATGATGTTGGAAGACATGAACTGAGAGTCTAAAAGCACCATATATATAGATATTCACTTTCTGCCCTGTATATGTTCCCATTTCCACCATATAGTCTGTCTTGCATCAAGATTCTGAGATCTTTTCAAGGCTGGTCAAAGTGGGTCGGGGGAGAAACCACATTTCACGTTCTGGCAATTAGGTTATGCCTTTTTATGCCTCTATTTTATTTTGGTGAGTTTCCACTTCTTAGAATCACTTTTTCAGTGCCTAAAAAAAAAAAAAAAGTAGAGCAACACCAACTATTCCAATAGGAGGAATAATCACATGTGACTTTATTACGTTCAAATATGGTGGAAATAGTTGTTGGTACTTTTATGCGTCTTTATTGCAAAATTAAGGTGAGAGAGAGAGAGAGAGAGAGAGAATAGTGGCTTTTAAATATTGTTCCAAATAAGCAATAGAATGAAAATATGCAATTTTAATTTTGATAAAAAAAAGGAATACGAATGGCATGATCCATGGTCAAGGTCGACTAACCGTTGAAGTGAACTTTCCAAGTCTCATTAAAAGCATTTGAGACTATTTTCAAGCTAAAACCGTGGAAATAATCCCGATTCGATTAGGGCCCGTTTAGTTTGCTGATTTGAGTTTTTAATTCGAGTTGATATGTGATTTTATGTGAGAGCTTTTTACTGTAATAAAAAAATTAAATGTGATTATTTGTGAGAGTTTTTTACTGTAGAAAAACTTAAATTGTAAACTCAAATCAGCGAAATGAACGAAATTTAAGTATAGAAACATCAATCGATTAAGTACAGAAACATCAATTATTAGTAGTTAAGATAGATTTAATTCTTTAAGGGACGAATAGAATATTTAAATTATTATTATATTCAATTACTTTTCATGCTGTAGTACCTCAAATTAAAATAAGTAAACGTTTAATTTATGAATTTAAAATTATAATTATTTTTCTAAATGCGTACTGTACTTTTAAGGGGAAACTTCTTGTACTTTAATCATTTCATAATAAAAGCTTTATTTAATTCTCAACTAGTTACGTGAAACTCATTTTATTACTTATTAGTTAGCCCAATCAATTATAGTCTTCGATTATCCAGAAAGCTTTAACAGTCAATATCTGCCCAAATTGCTCTTTTTTTTTTGCCTCATTACAATATAGCAGATTGTGACATATAGATATAATTCATTAACCACCATCCACTATCTCATTAGAAAAAAAAAAAAAAAAAAACTATCCATTAGCTAAAATTAATTGTTTCAAAGTAAGAAATACCTATTACTTTCATTCTATCAAGATTAGCAGGACCTAAACAACGTTGAATAAGTCAAATTAACTCAAAAAATTAAAAAAAAAAGTGAAGAAAGAATGAAGTCTCCCCTTTTAGAATTGTCAAAATATTGTTGGCGTAAACAATGATAATGAAAAGTCAGTCCTCATAGACGGCTTTGCCCAAGTGGCAAAATCTCCATCTTTACTATTTCGGAGACGTTTGGTTCATAAATTAGAATTATTTTTAATTTATGTGTATTTTTTATGAGAAAAAATACTGTAATAAACCATGAACTACGATTCGAATCGGGGTACGAATCCCCCAACCAATACTTTTAATAAAATTTTCAGATTAAGGAAATTTGTTTTGTATGTTAATAAAAAAAGGAGATTAAGGAAACTATTTCTGTTTTGAATTGATTTTGCCCATACATAAAAATGAAAAAGAAAGTAATCAAGATTTCGTTTTGGAATGTGAAACACATAAGCTAAATTTATATCTGAACTATAGTCAATGAAATCATTTCCATAAAAAAAATTAAATCATGTTTAGCTAAGAAACAAAAAGTCATGTAAGAAGAAATTATGTGATAGATTATTCATACTACATTGGGTTTTTTTTTTTTTTTTTGAAAAGGATATTCGGTTTTTTAACAGTAATCAATATTTAAATTGTACAGAGTTCATAATTTATTACTAAATAAAAATTAAAATAATTTAATAAAAAAACAAGAAAAAGAAATGCTAAAGTACGCCCACTGAACGCCAGCGCATTTTAGAAAGTACATGAGTAATGAGAATTGTGAAACAATAACGAACCGAAAACTTCAAAAAAAAAAAAAAAAAAAAACGATTTTTCTACACGACAACCCAGGATTTTTCTTTTAGCCTTTACTCCTTCCTCGTCCATTTTCTTTGATTTGAACTGAAAAGTTTTTTTTTTCCTTTCTGTTTCTTACTCAAAATCTTATAAGGTTTCCTCTGATTTTACTAAATCACTGCTCTTGTTGAGTTTTTCTTTTTTGGATTCGAATCATATATAAATAATCACTTTTATTCTTCTGGGTCGTCCTTAATTGATGTGAAGCTGTTCCAATTTTGGCGAAGAGTTCAAGGTTATTACTTTGTTTTGATCCATGTTATGTCATATTCATTTTGGTGTTTTTTTTTCCTTTCCAAGTTGGTATCTTCAGTTTTTGAGTCCTCTCCAAAATTCTTGTATTTGGATTATTCTTGTTTCATTAACTTCACTACAAAGACTTTTTTTTTTCCATATTTTATAGTAAAAATAGAAACGTTTTCTTCTTGCTTTCAAACTCAGAGACACAACAACAAAGTTAGAAATTTTATCTGGTATTAATCTGGGAATAATACTTTCCGTTGACGCTGTTGGCAGTTGGCACAAATGAAATCGGAGGAATTGGGGGTAGAGTTCTGCTGAGTTTCAAAGAAACCCCCGACCTTCGATTGCTCTCATTCTGGTCCCTGCGTTCCTTGCCTCTATTCCGATCGAAAAGGTCTCTCTCTGAAACTTTGGATATGTTTGTTTGGGAAATGGGAAATGGGAAATCTAACAAATTCTGTCTCCTTTTAAGTGTATTATTTTCATGTAACCTTAATTGAAAACATCGACATTCTTCCATATTTGATTCCTTTGTAACCGTTTTCTTATAACCTATTATTTGTGGTGGTTTATCTGTCATCGAATCAATTTTGTCTTCTGTTCTGTCTATGGAAAATATTATATGCTCTACTTTACCTTTCAATCGACGAGTTCAACGAACCTTCCATCTTGAAAGTTGTGTTCAACTCTTGTTTGGTACTTAGTGATATCTCCGATCTCCCATGCTTTATTGGAAGTGATTCTGTACGGTTCGAACGTAGCATTGCCTTTAATCACTAATTGGATCCTATTCTTCTCGGTTTGAGTCTCATCTCATGAATTTACAAGTTTTTATTTTTTTATTTTTTTAATCATCGCTTGTTCATATTTTGCTTTATTCTAAGAATTTGTTTTGACATTTAGAAAGTACGTTCATGTACATCTGTTTTTTCTCTGGGTAATTCAATCAGAGTATGGTACTACTGCATAATTTGATTAGTGTTCTAAGTAGTAAACTTCTACAATTTCGTTTATGTTGTCCTCACTAATTTATGTCTATACTATAATAGTAGTATCGATACTTACTGGCCAATATATGTTATAGATTTTGTGTTTGGATTAAGCACTATGTGAATGGTTTTTAATGATTTGAATAGATTAGGATTATTTTCCTCTTTCTTTGTTCGGTAACTAGATTGGGTTGGAGCTTCTTCTGTAATCCATATGTATTCCCACTATATGGCATTTTTTTCCCCTGGAATATCTTTGACTTTAGCCTTGTCTATCTGGGTGTTTATTTAGTTTCTGCACTTGTTGCATTATGGCGAAGGTTTTATGCTTGTTCCTTTACCTAATTGATTTTTTTCATATTGACTCAAATTCTGCTATGCATGTTGGCATGTTGCTGTTTATCTGTAATTCTGTATATAATAATCCACCTCAATGTCTTGTATCATAGTTATACTTTACTCTTAGATTTTCTCGTTTTCTGTTTTGTTACAACTGATATTTTTCCCTCGTACTTCACAATTTTCTGTAGTCAGTGTGATTAGTTCTTTTCTTAAAGTTTTACTATTATGACGACAACTTCTTGTGAATATATTAGTTCTTATTATTAAATAACAGAAAAATTAATGATTTAGATCGAAATGCTACATTACTTAAGTTTCCTCATAAGTTACTTTTTCTCATCTTTATAATTCTTTAAAAAATATAGATTTTAATCTCTATTTAACGTTAAATCTTATTACTATTATCGTGTTTGTAGATTTCTGCTAACATGGACGGTACTTTTGGATATAGTTATTGAAAATTTTCCTTCCGTGTCATTCTGAAACATTTTCAAAAATTTCTCCCTTATTAGGATAACTACATTCATCAGTTACTTTTATTTCAAAAGTCAATAACCGCTGTTATTTCTTATTACAACTAGTCTTATTTTTATTACTGATTTTTAGTGTTTTTGATTCCCTAAAAGTGTTTTACTTTGCTATGTATTAAAAAGAGGCTGATAATGAAGGCCTTCCTTCCTTACTCCCTCTTACTAAAATGAAAAATAATATAAAATAAAAAATCAACCCTGGCTGAATATTGCAATGCTTCAAATATATACGCTGGAAATTTGACTGTGGTTTCAAGATAAGTATATTTTTCTATTTATTTTCCTTAATCATGCCACTAATTTATTATTTATATCCTAATTATTATTTATTATTATTATTTTTTTATTTTTCAGGTCTGTTTTGCATTTGGTTTTTCATTCTTAGATAATTGTCCTCATGTCTTTTTTCTTCTTCAAGGGAGTTTGGTCAATCTTTTATGTGTTGTTTTTACGATACATGATTTATCCTTATTTGCTTTTTGGATAGAAAGAGACATTTTAATGGTTGGATATCTTCCACCATTGATTGTATCTATTGGTTAATAGATACTTTCTTCTACTAAAAAAAAAAAAACAAGTTCACTACAAGACTATTTCTTGCTTCTGATCCTGTTAGAAAGTTGTCACATTTGGTGGGGAAAATTTTGAAAACTTGGACTAAAAAGGAAATGCTTTTATTTCTGGGGGATTCTGTTGTTGGAACTAGTTTAGAGTATCAGAGTTTTTCCTTTACATAAATTTTATTGTAAGAGAATATTTTCACTCTAGTAGTTGCTCAAGCAATAAATTATTTTATGAGTTTGAAGTTATGATTGTCTTTGAATATTTTCTTTCTTTTCTCTGAATCTTAGTGAAGTTTTCGATCTCTGATTATGGGGTGTGCTTAGACTGCAGAAGCAAGTTCAATTGAAGTTGGGGTAGATATTATCTCAGAAATTCAAGGTCAAACACCTTGCTTGATCCGGTTCTTTGACGAGTAAGTAAGATCAGAAGTTGGTTGATAAGTCACTCATCTTGTGAAGTTGGTTTGATCATTGAATTTTGTTTACATTCGTTCATGTAGGTCGCATACTTTGTAATGAAGCCTTACGAAAATGGTGGAACCGACTTGGAAGTTGGTAAGTTGGAGAAAGGCCGAGAAAAAGTTACTATGCGGAGTCAGAGTAATAAGGGATTTAAATTGCAAAACCAGGCATTGTTGTCTGGCCTTGCCTACTGCATCTCTTCTTGCAGCATGATACTAGTCAACAAGTTTGTACTTTCCAGCTATGATTTTAATGCTGGGATATCTTTGATGTTGTACCAGGTAATCGACCATTCTTGACGTCGTTTTGATGCATATTTTTATTCTTTTGATGATCAAAACAAATGATTCGATGACGGGCTTTGATACTTAACTAATTAATGTTGCTTCTGTGGGTGCAGAATTTTATTTCAGTAATTCTTGTGTCGATATTGAGTTTTCTGGGTTTAGTATCGACGGAACCACTGACATGGAGATTGATTAAAGTTTGGTTGCCAGTAAACGTTATATTCGTTGGGATGCTTGTTACAAGCATGTTCAGGTATGTAGGTATGAAGTTTGAAATTTTGAATTGGTTGTTCTAGCATGATTCACTCTTGACTTGACTTTATATGTTATTTTGACTACTAGCTTGATTTATTGTTGGAAGTGTAGAATTTTTTTATTGGTTATCTCTTCTTGTGTTTCTTTATTTATCAACACCTTTCTTCCTAGTTTTGATTCTTGGAGTTAGTTTGGAATATATTTTCTTAAGAAAATAGTACCTATCATGAAAGGACTTCTGGTTTATAGTAGCACCATAACATCTTACCTTTGTTTGTCTATAAATAAAACTAAGTATTTGTTAGTATGAAGTATGATCCGTAATGGATTACTTTTATGTAAGATAGGGTCCGTAATGGATTACTTTTATGTAAGATTGGGCATGCCAAAGCTTAAGATTTTAGACCTGCCTGGTCTGTCCCTGACCCTTGGTGGTGTGAGACTCGTATAGTTGTTGGGCATATCATAGATCATGATTTTCTATGTGTTCAGTTTGCAGGCCCCGTTCATTTCATCGATTCGAGTTTTGCTACAATAAAAAAGCTCTCAGAAATAGTCACATCTAACTTTTTTGCTACAGTAAAAAGTTCTAACATAAAGTCACATCTCAACTCGAATCAATGAACTAAACGGGCCTACAGTTTGGAACTTGATAATAGTTTAAAGATCTTTTTTTTTTCCTCGAAATTTGTTACTTGAAAACTTTCGACTTGTTTGCAGTTTGAAGTACATTAATGTCGCTATGGTCACAGTCCTGAAGAATGTAACTAATGTGATAACTGCTCTTGGCGAAATGTATCTATTTAACAAGCATCATGACAGCAGAGTGTGGACTGCTCTGTTCCTAATGGTATGTTCTATGACTCAAATGTGATTTAGGATTCAATTATTTGACTATAGCAGTCTGGAATGCGGAATAACTTAGTCAATTTGTTATTTGTATTTTAAATATTAGCTTTGTTTTCGCGAAGAACGCCTTTCTGCTGTTTAACTCTCTTTTTTATTTTAATATTATCATTATATCTTAAATAGTTCTTACAAATGGCCCAATTAGTTGGGAAAAAAAAAAAGCCCCACAGATCCAATGGCTAACTGGAGCAAAAAAGTCAGTAACAAAACCTAAAACCTTGCACATGGATAGATTTAAAATATTCCTGGTTTTACTTTGTGCAGATCATTTCAGCAATTACTGGAGGAATTACTGACCTAACATTTCATGCAGTCGGCTATGCATGGCAGATTGTTAACTGTTTCTTAACTGCATCATATTCCGTAAGTGCATTTATGTTTTCGTTCAATTTGTACCTTTTCAGAGTGTCGTTCTTTGTTAATTTGTACAACTCAAGTCAGCTAAGCCTTCCAGTGGCTTGAGGTTGATTAGTAAACTTTCAACCTTGGATGTGGTGAAGTCAAAAATGCCTTTCAACATAATTTGGCGAAGTCTTAAGATTATTAGAGAAAGAATTTAATCGCTGAGTTTCGTCTGAAATGCTGAGTGTTTATAAATCTTTATATTTACTATGTTAGATCCCACTAGAAATCTGAATCATGAAAACAAACATGGAGTTGGGTAGTTGGCCGAGTTCAACTAGCTGGAAAAAATAGAAAAAGAAAGAAAACAGATACTCAAGAAATGAGTCCTAGTATTTGATTTCAAAGTGCTTGCTTTTGTTTGTTTCATCTTGTACATACATCTATTTAATATCTACTTTCTCTTATACATATATAATACACACACACAAAATACGGGATGGAACCTGCAACCTCCCCCAAACCCCATTCCACCTGTTTGGTGCCACTAGACCAAGCGTTCTTAGGCTTAAGTTAGCTTTCTTATTATTGTTGCTTTAAAATGTTGTTGATGTATTGTGATATTTTACTTGTGCAGCTGACTCTACGCCGGGTCATGGACACGGCAAAGCAATTCACCAAATCTGGGAACTTGAATGAATTTTCAATGGTCTTGCTAAACAACACCCTTTCTTTGCCTTTGGGGATTATTCTTATACTCATTTTTAATGAGGTGGATTATCTTTTGAAAACGTGAGTTTTTTGCTTCATTTTCTGATATTAATGTTCTTGTCAGTGGTTGACACTAATTTTTGTGATATTGATGCAAGTACTATTTTTATGATGTTGAAGATAGATGTTCATGCTCTATGATCTGACATTTTTTTTTATTGAAGTATTAAGGACTGCTTAATATAATATCTTATATCACCTAGTCTTCTGTGATTTTAAAGCCTTGCATGAAGTAACCTGAAAAGCCTACAGATACAATTTTAGGTTATTTATTCCCTTTTTATTTTTTTTCTGGCCATCGTTTTCCTTCCTGCCCTTTCATCTTTTTAGTGGTATGATTTGTTCTCTCTCTTTTCGACTCACTTTCAATACCCATCTCTAAAAAGGTATTTTTGGCATAAATCTGAACTCAGGTTTTATGAGTTTGTTGAACTACCTGTTCACTAATAGTCACAGTAATTCAAACCATTTGTCAAATTATGCAAGAATTGTGGCTTTTGTTTTCTCGGATTTCGGTAGCCTGGATATGGAGAGGGTACTACTAAGGCTTTTAGGACTCGGAAGAACCTATGTCTTTTACTAAATTCTAGTTTTCCCTTTTAACTCATATACTCCCAATCCATTTTTCTTTCTGCATGATTTTTACTTGTCTAGTTGTGCCACATTTTGACTTCCACATGTCCGTCCGTGAAAATTGAAATTTACATGAAAGAAGTATTGAAACTAAATACTGCATGAAATTGAGCAACTTTCAGATAGTGTGCTGATCATGAGAGATGGTTGCCATACTATATCGGGTGTTAGCGTAATTTAATTAGGAAAAAAAATTGTGTTTTGGAATGTGGATAGTGCTCTGACATAAATGCGTTTTGATTTCAAATATGCGGGGAAATACTTGTTTTCGCTTTATATCTTATTGTTGTTGACCTAAAATGCAGACCCCTATTGAGGATGCCTGATTTTTGGCTGGTGGTGACGCTTAGCGGATTTTTGGGTCTGGCAATCAGCTTCACTTCCATGTGGTTTCTTCATCAAACAGGTGCTACCACATACAGGTAAAATTAAGAATTTAGTTGATGCATACATTATTTCTCTTGGTGCAACTTATTTTGATCGGAGCCATCTAGTTTCAATTTGACATTTGACATCGTTTTGTAATCCTTTTCTATCTTCGGCAAGAAGGGCCCCGAGAACATGTAGTTGTGACTTGTGACGAGTGTAGATTTTGATATTTTACTGCACCCCAGAGTTGACATTTGGAAACATGAACTTGATTCCTGTGGGTTAGCTTTTAAGACCATTGTTGAAAGTCTGATTTAGGGTTATCAGGTCTGGCTTTTGACTGGGAAGTGCTATACTACCTTCTGGGTTCCATTTAGCGGCCACTCAGATTCTAAAATTTCAGTTGCGGCCCATTAAATAAAGGAAATTATAACGGTTCCCCCACACAATGTAGAAATTTATAACTATTTCTGCATTCAATAATAAATGATTTCTTAATTAAAAAAAAATTCATATTGTGCTCCCGCCAAAAGACTTTTCTGGCTCTGCCACTCAATCTCAAGGCATAACCAGTTTAATTTGTTTCCACTCGTTGACTGCATAGCTAGAGATCCTTATTTTGGGGTGTAACATTACCCCATAATTCTATAGTGGGAATTCCTAATCGCTTCTCAATATGTGCAGCCTTGTTGGGTCACTGAACAAGATCCCTCTGTCCTTTGCCGGTATCCTACTTTTTAAAGTCCCGACCAGTTTAGAGAATTCCACGAGCATTTTCTTCGGTAAGTTATCTCCATTCAACATGGGAAAGACACAAACTTGGAATGCTTTTTTAGCGTTATTAACCAAATCTCCATTTCTGTAGGCCTCTTGGCTGGAGTTTTTTTTGCCAGAGCCAAAATGCGGGAGCGATCTCAATCCTGAAGTGTTACGACTGTCATGGATCCTTGCATGAAGCCGACCGAGTTCAGTGCGATCAGCATGCTGAAATTTTAACTTCCTCAGCTATTGCATCTTGTTGATTCGGGAAAAACAGTTTTCTCTGAAGGTATCCGATGAAAGGAAGGAAAAGAAAATTCTTGCCATTTTTTAGTGCTGTTCTACAGAGTCAGCTATGGTGCAAGGATGATTAAATTCTTTAGAAATGCATTACGCATTTTGTGTCTGTTGTATTTGTACGCTAGAAAAAAGAAAAAGAAAAAAAAAAACCTACGTCTATTCCTTTTTTTGCCCTTTTTGAATTCCCAGTCAGTTTTCTTTTCTTTTTCTTTTCAAAAAATATTACAGAATCATTTTGTTAGAATAATTTTGTTGAATAGGAATAGAATGTAGTATAATCTGAAACTCATGTTGTACTAGGAAGAACAGGGCAATTTTTAAAAATACCATTGAAATGGAGCTCTATTTTATTTTTATTCATTGACATTAGTTCATATATTTCTACATTTTAAATTAAAACTAATCAAGGTGTGTAATTTTAAAAGGGGTATTTTTAATAAGACGAGTCCGACTTTTCTCAACAGGTTATGAAACCTGTTATGAGCAAGATAATATCCAAAAAGCTTTTCTGTTGTTTTTCTTTGGAGGAAGCTCTTTATGTGAAATCAATGTATTATTTGAAATTCATTCAAAAGAAGTCGAATGAATTTTATCTCTCTCTAAAAAGAAAAGGATAATAGAAAAAAAATTGTCTGTAAATCTTGATTCCAAGGGAAAATGGTAGGTGCTTGGACCATGAAAACTATGATCATCAATAGATATATATTGCATTGACATTCATTTTTATAAGCATATTCGGCTATTGGTTGTCCTATTTCTTTCTAATTTCTATTTCCGAAATTTTCCAAGGGATAAAAAGAGTGACGTTGTAATTAAGTTGAGGTGAAGGAGTGTTATTGTAATTAAGCTTGGTCTAAAGGTCCCGGGGTCTCAATATAATTTTTTATTTCTTGTAACGAAAAAGAAAAAAAATTAGAAACAAGGTTTTTTGGATGAGACTCCCTTAAACTTTACGTTTTTAGCAGATTGATCCTTGAATTAAAATTCTCAATCAACCTCTTAAATTTCAAAATCTACTGTATTAGTGGTCATTTTAGTAACATATGTTAAATACTTAACAGATTTAAACACATGATCTGCACGTAAGTCATCTTTTAGGGGTATGCCAAGTCTTTATAACCACACTAGGAATTAAACTTCAAAAAAAAAAAACATTAAACACAAATCATAAAAATCCCAGATCTTGTTCACGCATGTCGTACCATGCGATGTGTTTGGGTAGAGGGGAAGAGGGCACATGGTGACACCGAGATTTAGAGTGGGAGGCTGTCGCTGCGACACCGGAGTTTGACGGAGGAGTGGGGCGGCACGACGATGACAACTGTTGTGAGGGAAAACCTACCTTGCCACATCGGACAACAACCGAGTTCCCATGGCCACCACCATGCCACGTCAGCCAGCGGATAGGCGCTGATGGTTGAAGGGTCGGCTTTCAAAGATGAGTGCCGTACCAATGAGAGAAGGGTCGACTGCCCCAAAGTGTTTTAGAATAATTCTTGAAGAAACGCTCAACAACAACAAGATTATAACCAGCAACATCCAAGCCAACAGTCGATCAATTAAACAGTCAAGGCAGAGGCGAATCCCAAGACCTCATAGACTGACGATGCTATGGAAAGATCGGCAGGGATGAGGATTCCATTTTGACTCGCCGTGGAGGCCCAATGGGGATGCATAGGGCAGGATGTTCAGTCCTCTGACCCAGATCCCAAGAGTATCCCCTGAGGTAACAGGAGAAAAATCTCTAGGTTACTTGTGGTCTTGGACAAAGTCAACAACAGAGAAAATGATTACAAGCCTATTAGCCGCCAAAAACAGACCAATGGAAATCACAAGAGATCCATAGAGCAGCAATAGTGGACAAAGTAGGTAAATGAACAGTCTAAAAGGTATTGAAAAGCTACAGTCTAGATGAGTAGGATAATGGACTACTCGAGAGAAACCGTCAGATAACCATTTGTCTCAGTTTTCTCCAATGTGTAATCTGTGAGATATAAAAAGGATAAGGCCCTAGAGAGAAAGGATGATGAAAAACTGAGAGAACAAAACCTCTGTAATCAAAGAAGAAAGAAAATAGTGAAAACTTCCTCAAAGTGGACATAGCTCTTTCATTAAGAGTGAACCACTATAATTTTTGGTGTTCTTCTTATTTGTTTGCATTTGCACCTATACTCAAAGAACTCTTAGAATACACACAACCAGTTACACTTTCCTAGTCATTATTACGTGTTCTAGTTGGTAACCCGACTGATTACTAGACGGTAATCCGGCATATTTCTGTTGACAAAATTTTATCGATAACCATGAGATTTGAAGTAGGAGGAGGCCATTGACGACCTTCCTAATGCCCTTGAAGATCTAGACATGGCGTCTGCAATTTCCAACAAATTCAAGGCCAGTGGCTCTCTCTTAAATTTTGTTCTCACCACTTTCTTTGTGACCCATTTCAGATCAGAACAAGTCAAGGGGGACGATCGCAATCACGCTCTCACCTGGGAGTTTGAACAAGTTTTTCGGTCATCTTCTTGCCTGGGCAGTTGAAGAATTACCGATTTAACTATGTTAAATGGTTTTTGGGTTTCCTTATTTCTTTTTTAAAAGTATGAAATTGAGCCCTTAGAGAAAAAACTTACAATTGCTTTGGAATGAAATTAAGTTGATGTCTGCTGGAGATTTTTCACGAATTTTTATTCAATTTTTAAAGATGTTGATGTTTGCTGGAGTTTTCTTTACTAATCCGGTTTCAATCTTCAAAGATTAATTGGAGGATAGTGAGAGAGTGTGCAAACCGCAAACGTAAAAGGAGAGAGTTTTTTTTCATTTTAATAAAAAAGTATAATTTTTATACCTATCTTGCCCTGATAAGTGCAACACGTGAGCGGCACTTGAGTCAGTCCGTCCGTGTTTTTAACAGAGTTATCAGTTGGAGTAACAATACTAACCCAACTTACAATCGCTTGATCCCATTCGACTTGAAAGTTGAAAGAGAAAAAAAAGAAAAACGTTTCTTTCTTCCTTCCTTCCACGGACATGGAAGCTTCACAAGCAACTACTACAGAAAACCCAAACCCTAACCCTAACCCTAACCCCGGACGAAATCTCAACTCCATTTCGTCGTCTTCGCCGGTGTGGCCCACCATAGACGGCTCCTTAGGTCTGTCGGAGGAAGAGTCGCTCAGTTACGCCCGCAGATTCTACAACTTCGGGTTCTTGCTTCTTCCTCTGCTCTGGGCCGTCAATTGCTTCTACTTCTGGCCTGTTCTCCGTCACTCCCGATCTTTCCCTCGCATTCACTACTGTATGTGTTGTGATCTTCGCTTTCCTTTCAAATTAGTGCTTTTTCTTTGCGAAAATTCAGTTCAATTTCAAGAATTTTCCGATTAGGTTGTTTAATTGTTCATATTTTTAGTTTCGGAGTGTGCTTTCAAGTTGATATTGTTGCCACTGTACATAATCTCTCTCTCTCTCTAATTTTGATTGAGGTTTCGTAATCTTCGTTTTCGTCTCAAATTTGTGCTTTTTCTTGCGAAAGATCAGTTGAATTTCCAGAATTTTGCAATTAGGTTGTTTAATATAATTGTTGTTATTGTTAGTTTCGGAGTGTATTTTTGAGTTGTAATTAATCATATCTAATACCGAGGTTTAATGGCATAATTATAGCTCTCAAAAGATTTTTTGATGTTTCGCGTTCTTAACAGCTTAATGTAGGAGAATTCAGTTTGACAATGCATCATGTTTAGCTTTTCTTGTTTGGTCCTTTTTTCGGTTTTTAATCTCGAATTTGTTCTAGTTTCTAAGCAAGATCCTGCTAAATTATCTTGTTTAGAATGGCCTGGTAGTTATTTTTCAAAAGAAAGTGTTGATCAATTTGGTTTTATCGTATCTCTTAGCGATACGATCTCTCATTATGTCATTTAGCTACAAGTTGTTAAATGCTTAAATTTTCTTTCTTTTTTTGGCTCGGAAAATGCATAAAGTTTCTTGTTAGCACATGCTATTGTTGGCAACCACATTGGCCTATAGCCTCTTGGTCTCTTGGTTTGAGTTGTGACTGTGATAGTTATTTCGATTGGTTGAGGAGGTTCCTTGAGTTATGTCATTGATTCGTCGGTTTAAAATATGGTTATTGTTACCGCGTTGTTTAAGGTTTTTAGGCGTGCCATGCTATCAAATGTTCTTAACGTTATTTCTTGATTACTAATTTACTAAGAATGGTTCAGGGCTTTCACTAGATTAGAATGGTAGTATCATGTGAGGCATTACTGAATGAAGGTATATTTATCCATGAGAAGTTGTTTTCTAGGTTATTTAACGTGAATTAACAAGTTTTAATGAAATAAAAGTAATAATCTAAGATGATGGAAACAGTAAGGAAAAAAAGATAGTCTCTCTTGAATTTAAACTTTGACTTTAACTAAGATGAGATTATTATACAACACCATGTGAATGTACAAAGAGTTGGAGAGGGGATGAGCACTAGGTAAGGGGCGAAATTAGTTTATTCAAGGTCGTGTTTTGGGGTCATACTGGTTAGTTGTAATCAAGTGGTAGAGTTACTTAATAGGCCTTGCCTTCCATCTAAAATACCCTGACGGTCAGTATAGCTTGACTTAATTTGATATATTACACTGAATTGTTTTGGTTCCAAAAGTATTATTAATAGTTTCAACTTGCAACTCTTTTAATGTTGAATTTATTTGGGAGTACAATTTTTAGGGGCTTTGATGGCTGATAAGCAATAAAAACAATTGAGATAGTTAGCAAGGTTGGATGTCCATGTGAAGGAAATAATTTCTAATCTTAAAATGGTGTCTTTTTTACTTATTAAATATTTCTTCCCCCCTTATATTGGAACTGTTCATAGATTTTTGTCAAAGAAGAAAAAAGGGAAAAAAATAGGAGATAGCTGTTTATTTCTTGTCTTCATGCTCGTTTTGAAAATAATAATAATAATATAAATAAATACCTTTTTTAAGAGAAGTATTGCAGTTGTGGATATGATTTTTTTTGTACTTTTGCACACACATAGGATCGTTTCTTCTCTTAGACATTTTGAGAGGTGACACTGCCAAGCCTTAGGTGTTTCAAAAGTTGACGGGTTTTAGAGTTAAAGTCGAATTTGCTGACACCATACATTTAGTGTGCACGTGTTGCTGCCAGTAGCCACACAGCAATGTCTACATTTTGAATCATGCAAAGGTCTTTTATCGCAAGCCTTAAGGCGTCATGAAGTGATATTTGGTCCCTGTAACTTTTGAACCTTGAAGTGCATTTAACCTTTCCATTTTCGGCCTCTCATCATATCCATTTAGCCGTCTTATCCTGTTGCTTCTGAGAGCTTTTTACTGTAACAGAAAAAGTTAGATGTGACATTTTCTGAGAGTTTTTTACTATAGAAATCTAGAACTGAAAACTCGAATCGGTGAAATGAACGAGGCCTTGGTTTTCTTTACGAGGAAATTTATATTGGCGTTTTTTCATCTAACAAAATTTCCAAACCCCCATTGTCCATTTGCATAACATACCGGCTGTGGTACTGGATACACTATTCCTTGAATTCATCATGTGGTAAATGTAGTCATGTAGCAAAGAAAGATTTCTTTCGTTCAGCATTACTATTCTCTGCTAATAAAAATTTGCTTTCGCAGATGTCTTGAGATCCGCGGTTGGCTTCATAGTTTTTACTGCTCTTCTCTCTTCATGGGCTCTTACATTCGCCATTGGAGGGGAGCGCCTTTTCGGCCCCGTGTGGGATCAGCTGGTAATGTACAACCTTGCTGAAAAAGTGGGCTTGACAAGTTGGAGCTAGCCATAGATACATATATGCCCTTGCTTCTGAATTCTTTTTTTGCGTTATCTTCCCTTTTTTTTTTTTTTTTTTACCATCAATCTTTTTACCCTTTTTTTTTTTTTTTCTCTCGTCATATGTTGATCTGCGTGATTGGGAAGATTGAAAGGCCGTCCTTTGTATTTTGTCTTGTTGCCTTGAAATCTTGTATATCCGGCAGTTGTAAGGTGGCTTTTCACTAATTGAATATTGACGCTTTCTATCTTTAACTGTGCAAAGTACTGTTATTGATGCCGAAATATTTCGCCGTATTTGGTAAGAGTCTAAGAGAGAGAAAATAGGACGGAAAGAAAGGTATAATAATTAATATCTAAGTGAGGAAAATGAATAGGAAGGGAAGGGAATGATTTTTCTTTGCTATGGATTTATTCAAGTCTTGTGGAAGATTTTGAATCCCTTACCTTATAATTGTCACCGTTCAACAAAAAACTAATGCAAGTTCTATCATTTTTTTTTTTTTGGGTTTTTTGAGCTTAATTCTTGTCAAAATGCAATTTAAAAACACGAATAAAAGATAATTAGAAAGCTGTCCGAAAATATTAAAAATCTAAGAATTTCAATTCCCAATAATTTGCAGAAGATTCTTAAGTCACTAATTTTTGTTTTCACAAATGAAAAACTGAAAATAGTTTTTTGGCTGAGATATTATAATTAATGATTAGTAACAGTTTGTTATGTATAGCATTTGACACCTGTTATCGTATGAGGTCTAATTAAGCACGTGTTTATCAAATACACAAATAGAATGTCAATTTCATGTGATTGAGCTCCCTAAGTTCATTGAATGATTGTTCGTTGCGTTGCATATAATTTTTAGGACACTGGATACGATTAAAATAATTCATTCCCTGAGCAAAAAATTAAAAAAAAAAAAAAAAAAAATTCACTCTCTCTCGTCTGAGCCGTGAACAAAATGTCAAAAGGCCAATTGTTAATGCAAGCTTCTCACTTAATCACAATAATATATAAGATTCATATATCAAATTGATTGGTAATTATATTATTTTTTTATTGACATTAACGTACTATAACTGATATTCTACATTTGAGCAATCCTACTGTACATCTCCTTTTTACATTTTCGGCACATCCTTCTAATTTTTCAGCCACTTAAGAAGTACATAAAGTTTAAAAACTATCTCATCCGTTGAAAATTTTGTAGCTTTTTAACATGTAGTAGCAGGGACTTCTTAGGCTCATTATGAAAAATTGAATCTATATTTATCCCAAAATATTACCTCCACAGTTTTAACATTTTTCAATATTATTGAGCAGTAAAAAGGCTGCCAATTAAGAATGTACTACTGGAGAGTTTTTAGAAGTCCACGACTTTGTGATGCATTTTGTGGCAATATATCTAGAATGAACTTTTTAATCAAAATTAGTTACGCAACTTAATTATTGGTGAAGTTGTCAAGTCAAATTCCACCGAGAAATAAGAAACTACAACCTAAGCATATATATTTATATTATCTTAATTATCACCCTCAAGATAGGACTCCAATTCAAGAACATCCTAAAACTTTACTCAAGAACAACACTTTTTGACTTGTAATGTATGTCCAATGAGATTTTTAATTAAATTGGTTGAATTTTTGTATAAAGGCCATCATTAAACATTGAATTCTCCAACACTTGAAGAAAAGATAAAAAGAAAAGCAACAAATTCTCTGGATTGACAATATTCCTTTGAATCAACTTCTGTATTATGAACATAATACACGGATTTTATCATTCGAAGCACGTTTTCTTGACCCCTAATTCTAATTAAACTCGCCTGATTTTGGGAAACTTTATCGGAATCCTGCTTTAATCCAACTAGAACTATTGCAAAAGCAACCTAAAATATATTTACAAAACATTATGAAAAAAAATTGTCAACCTCAAAAAAAAAAAAAAAAAAAAAAAAAAATGTGGGGCAATTCCTTTTTTTTTTTTTTTTTTTTTTTTTTTCCCAAAAAAAAAAAAAAATTAAAAAAAAAAAAAAACAATGTGTGGCAATTCCTTTTTTTTTTTATTTTTTATTTTTTTTACCATAGAGAATATATTTCACCAAGAAATTCTAGGATATCATATATTCGTACTTCTTATCTTCTGAAAAGAAAATAGAAAATAAAGGAAGAAGAAGAAGATTTTATATGTTTCTTAGAATCTTAATTGCCTCCAAGTTTGAAACTTTGTCATTGTCCCTTATTTTCTTATAAGTCAATAATAATCTGGACTTCCACTTCACGCTAATAAATAATTCAGAAGTACTTTTCCAACCGTGATTACATAAATTTAATCAATAGCTTTCCCAATCTGGAAAAACAAGACAAAACAAAACAAAAAAACTACATGCTGAGATATTGAACTGAGCAGCGAACACAAATTCACAATATAATTTCAGTTAATATGTACTCAATATGGGATATCATAGATCAATCAGGCTCAAAAAAAAAAAAAAAAAAGGAACGAACAAAATTCAAGAGTTATTACTGTAAATGTCTCGGAGAAAGAGAGGGGGGGTAATAAAATTGCTAAAAAAACAAAAAAAAAAAAAAAAAAAAAAAAAAAAAAAAAAAAACCACACAATTTATTAACAGTTTTTGCCATATACATAACAAGTTGAGAATTCATAGATAATATTAATTAGCACTAGGATAGGAGGTAGTTCAGCTGTCATTTTCTTGTGCCTCTAATTCTTTTAAGCTTTTGAATCTTTACCACTCAAGTTACAACGATATATTTGAGGCATAATGTTTGTTACTAAATGAGACTAAACAAATTGAAAAAGACATCGCATATTAAAGACCCACCAACTGTATTTTGTCACTCCAAAGGACCATATATGTCTTTTCATTATAATGCATACACATATATACATCTTTATATGTATTATCTGCATGTACGTATATATAAATGTATTATGTACATGTATGTATTTGTGACATATTAAAATGGGGTTAGTTTTAATATCTCCAGAAAGCAAATAAAATAAACACCAAACCATCTAGTTGGCCAATTTTGAATTATGATCAGGTATTGGATCCCACATTAAACTGTCCAAGATAACATATTTTTTATTTTGGTTTTGTAATTTCTTTTTTAATGGAAATGTACTTGAAACTATAATTGATAATTTTGCTAAATTTGAGTCATGGGTTTTCAAATCCAGCATAATCTTTTGAGTCATTACAATTGCCACTCAACTTGATCACTAATCTCATGTATTTTTCGCCATATATGGATAAGAATTTTCATAATTAATTTATTTTTACACACACACACACATATATATATATATATATATGGATAAGAATTTTCTTTAATTATTACTTATTTGTTCATTTTTTTCACTAAAAGCGTGAATTAATTAGCTAGGCCTCGTCTGACTAAGTGCTAGCTGGCACTTAAGCAACTTCTGTGTAACAAATCGCATTGAATTTTATGTTGGATCGATAATGGCATGTAACATGAAATATAGTAAATTTTGGAAATTGTCTTTTTGCAAGAAAGCTTAAAAATGGTCCCTACATATACGGGGCTTCAAAAATCACACAGAGGATATTGGTACAAAATAGAAAGTATTTCATTAAAAGGGGTTAAGTGGGTTTTGATGTGTAAGTCAACAATTTATCTTGAAATAGTGCTTGTTATTGTCACAAACGTTTTGTATAGTTGGGAAATATTGATTAGCTAATTAATGGGCATGTTAGAGGTTAAGGGAAATGGGAAATATGTGTTGCTTAAGTGGGATTCTTTTTGTGATGTAAGCATCAAAGAATAATAGTACTATTGGGCTCGTTCAGTTCGTTGATTCGAGTTTTTAATTCGAGTTGAGATATGACTTTATGTGAGAGCTTTTTACTGCAGCAAAAAAGTTAGATGTGATTGTTTCTAAGAGCTTTTTACTGTAGCAAAACTCGAATTCTAAACTCGAATCGGCGAAATGAACGGGGCCTTAATATTCCATGATCACCAAGAAAATGGCACTAATATATTTTCTTCTTTTTTTCTGCTTTTCTATGTTAATTTTTTGCTAAAATTGCACTGATATTATTTGTCCTAGCGTCAGCTGTGCTTTGATTAGCAGAACTTCACCATATTAATTACCTATGCTTTCGCTAAATTTGGAGAATATTAATAATCGGTTCCAAGATTAAATTAATTTATTTGATTGAACCCTAAACAATGAATTTTACATACATTACTATTCGTTATGATGCTGCCAGTAAGCTGTGGCTATATGGTTTAGCACGTTTTAGTGATCTTCTGACGTCTTACCAGAAATTTGGATAAATAATTAGTTGATTTTCTGAAGTATATGTAGCTTAATTATATGTATACATACTCATCAAGCAAATAAAAAGGTAATAAAAATAGACAAGCTAATAACTAATAAAAGCTCATAATAATTGATAACATTACTGCTTAATTACTAACTCTTCAAATTGATATAATGTGCCTTTGGTTATTCATTTTAAGGTAAAGGTATCATTGATACACATCATATATGTTATATATGTGTATCATATATAAACATACATTTTGGAGTCACTTATATATAAGCCTCAAATGTTTAGTGGGGTTTGTTGGGTTTTAAGGCCTAAAATGGAATGGGAAAATATTGTTATTAAGATCTTACGTTCTGAAATGGGAAAATATTGTCAGATATCAATGCACTTTCGTGCCCATCTCAAACAACAAAACGTTTCACATACAATAATATATATATATATATATATATACACACACACACACACACACACATGGCAAAGCTGTGGTGGAAATATCATGTGGATCAGTTACAGGGAGAATTTGTCTAAACATGAAGACTACTTTTCAGTTAGAGGCTAAAAATTCAAGCAACTTCCATGATGCTTGAGAAGATCAAGTTCAAGTGCAAAGAAGAAACCGTAGGAATGCATGTTATATAATGTGGGATAATCCAATTTAATTCTCATGTTGATTGTGCATAAACAACAATACAAACACACAGACATTTGTATCTGATTGCAAGTAAATTGATAAATAACTTTTAATTCTTGTTACTTTAGGAAAAGGAATAATAACATCGTGCTTCCATTGTACTTTTGTTCCCTTTTTTTTTTAAATCTGAAAATTTATGTGTATTTTTATTGATATGCTATTTACTTGCGTTGTTGACCAATATCTTATGTTTATTTTCAATGCAGATGTTAATGCTATATTTGATACTAAAAAATATAAAATGGCATAAATGATCTATTATTCTATTTTCTTAATCATCATCTCGAATACATCGCCAAATTAATGTTAAAGCTAAATTTTAGCGTTTGTATAAAAAAAATACTCTTCAATTCAGTACTGTTTGGTGTTGAATTTAGCATATATATATTATACTTACTGTGACAAATTTAATACCAAGTATAAATAATGTTAAATTTTTAACATTGCATTACTATTGGTTAATGTCTTGATCACCTTTTTATCTAATCATTGTATACATGTCATTTTTTTATCTTAAAATTAAAAGTCTCTTTTTACAAATTTTGATATTTAATAATCATAATAAAAATAGATATAACATTTGAAGTAACATTATTCATTAAAAAATAGAATAGTACATTAAATATGTGAAAATCACACCTTTTTTTTTTTATAATTTTTAGTTTCAAATGTAATACTGAATTTATTGGCATTAAGAGAGAAAAATATATTCCACTACATTATGTTATTCCAAATGCAATTCCAATACTTCCATGTCATTTTCTATATGTGTGTCTACAAAAGTAAAAGGTTATAGAGGAAGTAATATAGTTGGATTATGTATATGTACGTAGAGAGCTTGAAAAGTATGGTTTAACAAATATTTAAGTCAAGATCAATACATAAGAAACATCATGACTAGCTATAAATATGGCTTAGACGTTGAATAGAGGTTGAAAATCAAAAGATATTTGGTAGTGAAAAACAGACATATTAAACCTCACAAGAATAATTATTTAGCATTCTATTAACAGATCTTATGACATTGCACACGACAATATATACAGTACATAATCTTGTGGGATATTATCACGCAAGAGAATTTCTGAGAACAAATTTTTTTAATAATTAAAAAAATGAACCCGTGCAAGAAACCTAGCTATTTGATAGACAAAAGATGTAATTAGTAACTAGTTTAAAGTCAAATTAATTCAAGTGAGAATAATAAACTTTAGATTAAAACATTACTTAGTTAGAAGGTCAGTTTGTTTGATTTCGTGGGATATAAAATCTCAATCAGTTAAGAAAAGCCTTTATAGTATAACAATTCACCAAGTTATACATGAAATGATTAAGTCCTAACCTAATCAAATTTGAGAACTAATAGCATCATTTTTTTTTTTTTCGAAGTATACATCTCCAACGTATAGTATCAATTCATTAGATGAAGAGCATTTCTTTTCAATATTATATGACGAGATAACAAACAATTCAAGTGCTAAATGAACAAAACGAAAAGATGACCAAATTTAGCTTAATTTTTAGTGTGAAAAGCTTAACCTGTATGTGTGTTTGAATATGACCTGTGACTGATCACGGTTATATTCAGAATTAGGATTTGAACAAAATTATTACATTATAATATTGCACAGCTTGGAACTCATTGTCAGGTCTAAACTGATATTAAAGTTTCAACGACAATGAGTTTTTTTTTTTCTCTCTTTAAACAAAACATTTATATTCATTCTGCACTTGATATATATATATATATATATATTGCCTGCAGAGAAAGACAGATGAAATCCCATCAATATGTGTCTGACCCGATTCTGATGCCGATGATGATGCAAGCAATAATACAGCAAATTTTTTGCCACGTTGAAATTAATGTTTCTTCTAAATACTGCATACAGTAGTTGCACTAAATTTGGATGCTGATACATATTATATATATACATATACATATATATATATATATATATCATTTTATGGAATTGTACATATGAAGTAATAACTAGAACATTACCTGAAACAAGTTTTGACAGCAATGGATTCACCGACTCCCCTCTAACAGAAATCAATGTACTTTCCTATTTTTATATCATTAATAAACTGCAATACAACAAAATACTTCTAAAACTTGCAATAATCATACCGTATAAATTATAATATTCATTGTAGTTGGATTTATTCCTTCGCAGACAATTATAATTAGCCAGCCTATTTATTAATCGCACTAATTGTTGTTTAAACTTCTGAACTTATTATCAAAAATATTGGTTAAATAATAACAGCTGTTAAAGCTAACAAAAATTGATATTTTAACTCTTATAGGCTATTCAATATATAGATATATATATTTTAACTAGCTTAATATTATATAAGTACTATTATTGGTCGATTAACATTTACTGATACTAATCGCGTATATATTAGTATATTTATGTACTCTAATTATTCTAGCATGATATTATCTATGCTTAAAAGACTGTACGATTGCACATGAAAATTTCTACTTGCTAGCTAGCTAATTGAAAAATATTTAAAAGTAATCATAATCACACATGATATTTAAAACTAATCATCATATATTTTTTATTTTTTTTTCTGAAATTGGCAAATTGAAAAAAAAAAAAATTAGAGATCAGACCAATGGCCAACAGCATAAAAGAGACAAAAAACCAATCTCATAGATATGCGAATATATAGGTAGTGTATATATACATATATATACATATATGCCTGTGTATATGTACGCATATACATATATGTTTATATGTATGTGTGTGTGTGTCGTGTGAATACAACAAAAGTGACATCCCATCCATAACCCTAACTAGTTGATCTTTCTTATATATATATCTCCCTTTTCCTCTAACTATACTCCTGATCTCTCTTTACTAATTCTCTCATATTCAAATATACACAGTTTATTTGATGTATTTACATATATAGTTGTACATGATCAATAATATTATGTCTGCAAAAGGGTCGTCTGATCAGGAGATGGGAAAATCTTCGTCTAGTAGTGATCATGGTGGGAAAAACTGCTATAGAGGCCATTGGAGACCTGCAGAAGATGAGAAACTCCGGCAACTTGTCGAACACTACGGTCCTCAGAACTGGAATTTCATCGCCGACCATCTCCAAGGAAGATCAGGTTATAACAAATATATATTCATCTCTACCTACTAACTAAGATATATTCCTTAATCTTAATCTAGTACTAATTTGTCGCCAAAGTATATAAATGTAAATCAGTCTAATTAATTAATTTCTCAAAATTTTTTGTTAAAATTGATGTTTCACGACGCAAATTTCTCAATCAAATCTAATTAGTTTTGTTTTTTTTTTAATTTGGGTTAAATTTTTCTCTCAATTGATCTATTATATGTATCTATGTATATACATGTTATTATTGCTGAAGTTTTAAGAAATGGGGTTTTCACAAGGGGTTTGTTTAGTTTTGCAGGAAAAAGTTGCCGATTGAGATGGTACAACCAACTAGACCCAAACATAAACAAGAAGCCATTCACAGAAGAAGAGGAAGAGAGGCTGCTTTCTGCTCACCGGATTTACGGCAACAAATGGGCTTGCATAGCCAAGTATTTCCAAGGAAGAACCGATAACGCCGTCAAGAATCATTACCACGTTGTCATGGCCAGACGAAAGCGAGAGCGTTTCACGCAGTACCAACACCACCACCATCATCATCCCAGGCCAAGTACTCACAGTACTAGTACTCCTAATCATGATCAAGGTTTTTCTAATGGAAATATTATCAATCCTACTAAATTAGGGTTTCTCAACTTTCAATCATCTCACAATCAACAGAAGAGCGGGGTTCTGGGAATTCTGTCGTCAAATTCTTCGTCTAGTACTTTGAACGAATCGAGCACTCTAACCAGGGACTCAACTAGTACGCAGCTTGATGTTCACGGTGAAGGAAGATTAAAAGATTGCTCACCGCAAAGTCTAAACCAATTGTTTCTTCGTGGTCATGGTGACAATAATTTCAAGATTTTCATGGCCCCAAAATCGCCTCCACCAAAAGATGTTGTGATGAGCTCCTTTGGATTCTTGAATTCCGGGATACGTCATGGAGATCATGGGAATCATGAAGAGATCACAAACAACAACAAGAGCAAGTTCGTCAGATCGAGAGTAGATCTTCCTAACAGTACTAATTCGGTTAAACTGTTAAAATGGGGAATGGCCAATTCTCAACAAGAACAACAAGAGGTGCCCTTCATAGACTTTCTTGGTGTGGGGATCGTCTCTAATTAGTTTTAGTTCAGAAAAGGCATTAATGTGATTTCAATCGGTCTCTAGCTAGTACTTAATCTTTAGGCGAGATTTGAGTTTTTATGATTTAAATTAGCCAGGTCTATCTTCTAGTAATTCTCCCATATATATATATATATATATATATTATAATTAGAGTATGTCCTCTTGATCAAGTCTCAACAAAAAAAAAAAAGATGGAATTCCAAGTAATTTCAGACATGGACATTTTAGCTTGATCGATCTCAATAATGCTCAAAATCAGTGTTTTCATGTCAACAAGATTGTCTTTGTTGCAGTAATTATATTTTGTTTTGTAATTTGTTAGAAGGTATTTATATTAATGAAACAAGGTGAATTTTTCAATTATATGCAGATTTTGTTTTAGCTCGAATGTATCCCTGTCTAGCTAATAATTCCATACTTTACTCATCGAAATTTTTGTATTATTATTTTTTAATTATTCACTTCTTTCTTTTTGTTGCATGTGATCGTACAATTAAGACAATATATACAGTTTAAGAACAATATTGCTGGGTCTCTCTCTGATAATTCATGTGTGTATAACTTAACTTTTCCTTCTGGTTTTTTTTTTTTTTTTTTTTTTTTTTTTTTTTTTTTTTTTTTTTACTGCTTAGCTAGCTAGGGAAATTATATATTGTCGATTACGAACTGGTCAACTTAATCATAAGTAAATATACTAGTTAACATGGTTTAAATTTGTTTTGAGGAGTTTATATATTAGGTATATTCCTAGTAGTCAATAACCCAGTTTTCTTTTTCTTTTCTTTCTTTTTTTTTTTTTACTTCCTCCTCTTTGACTAGCAACAAAAAGGAAAAGAAAAAAAAAAACTAGAATTTTCACCTTGATACTCAGTAATACCTTTAAATTATTAATCAAATTTGTTAATCTGTGGATATACAAGAAATTAGCAAGTTAGTATTGCATATTCCTATCAATATTAGTGCTTGTACTTAATGTATTAAGCTTTTTTTTTTTTTTTTCCGGATAGTGCATGTTTTAATGTTTCATAATTAATAAGGGATATACGATAAGACTTCAATGTTATAATTCTAGGGAAATTATATATTGTCGATTACGAACTGGTCAACTTAATCATAAGTAAATATGCTAGTTAACATGGTTTAAATTTGTTTTGAGTAGTTTATATATTAGGTATATTCCTAGTAGTCAATAACCTAGTTTTCTTTTTCTTTTCTTTGTTGTTTTTTTTTTTTTTTTTTTTTTTTTTTTCCCCCTTTTTGACTAGAAAAAAAAAAAAAAAAAAAAAAAAAAAAAAAAAAAAAAAAAACCTAGAATTTTCACCTTGATACTCAGTAATACCTTTATTAATCAAATTTGTTAATCTGTGGATATACATGAAATTAGCAAGTTTGTATTGCATATTCCTATCAATATTAGTTCTGGTACTTAATGTATTAAGCTTCTTTTTTTTCTTTTTCCGGATAGTGCATGTTTTTATGTTTCATAATTAATAAGGGATATACACTAAGACTTCAATGTTATAATTTGTTCGTTTAAATATCAGTATTATTTCTCCCCTTGCTTCGGTTTCTCAATTTCTTTTTGCCTGTACAGAGCAAAATTGAAGAACATATAAAAAAAAATTAGTAGAACAAGTCAAAATAAATCTATAGAAACAAAATGGAGGATAATATATACAAGTCAAAGTCATACATACTCTAATATACTATATGATATGCTTACATATTTACTCGTAGGAATATGAATTTATATATGATCTTGATCAGTACTAATTATTTTCCGACTAATTTACAAGTTGCAAAATGTATGAGCCTAACAATACAAATTAAATCCCCTATGTCATGAGATGTATCACCACCACCATCATCATCATTATTATAGTGAATCTACGTGAGATATATATGTAATTTAATTCATTTTAATGTAACAAACTAATGAAGAAGATACGTAATTGGAAATTAATCACTGCTCAACGTTATTTGTTGGCAAGCATTGTGTTGATTTAAACCGGTGTTGGTGTACCGCATATATGCCTAATTAGTAATATCCGTTTAAATATTTTTGCAGATATCGTGGGCCTTTTTTGTTTTTTAAGAACAATGTTTTGATACTTGCATGTTTATATGTTCTTTACATTTATTATGATTTATGAAAAATGAAAAAAATACAATATTAGCTACCACAATTAATAGATAGTATATTTTATTTATTTAGAAAATATGTTGTGAGATTTACATTTTATTTGTGTGTGGTGATTTGATATTACTGGTGTCTACTGTCTTGTAATATTGTTTTAAGTTTATTTATTAAAAAGTAAGCCATTGGTTTGGTTTTCAAACTGAGCGCACATAAAAATAAATAAATAAATATTTCGCCAGCCATCTGACGGTCAGTTACTTCCATGAGTTAGGGAGAGAATCAATGAAGAATGACAGAGTATATAAGCCGTTAGAAATTATAAAAAGTAAACCAGTGGTTTACTTACCGGAGAATGATCAAAACAAGAATAATATAGACTATTTACCATAAAGAAGAACATGAGTGGTATTATTAAAGGAGAAAATGAAAAGCGTTATAAATCAATGACATTTGCTCACAAACAGTGTGTAATCATTTTATCAAATTCAAGCATGTAGACCTAAATCGCTAGTGCAAAGCATGAACTGCAGCTTTTTTGTAGCCGAAATAGTCTCATGGCCCATCTAGGTTGGCGATGAATTCACCAAGGCATGCTATAAGAGGAAAGGAAAGGTGACAAATAATTCTACCAAATTACTTTAGATTAATATTCTTTTAATTAATATATCTTACATTTCCTATTTTTATAGGAACTTATGTACAAATGTATGCATTTTAATTAGGGTCGTATTTTATAATTACGATTTTATCATATGTCTTTTTCATTCCGTCAAAAATTGATTTTACGGTAGTTAATCAAATAACTATATTAATCAAAATAATATTAATTAAGAGTGAGGAGTAAAAATTTAGACCCATGTATTATAGGTAGTTTTTAACTTTTTTTTTTTTTTGAGAAAAACTAAAAATACTACTCAAAAAGTTAAAAAAATATTATTTATATTACTTCACTTAAAAAATAAACAATTATAGTTCAATTAACAAAAAACAAAAAGTCATAATGGCATCCAATTATTTAAAATAAAATAAATAACATATTTGCATAAAATAATGACAAATCGTATAGAGTGCATTTGTAATTGATTTCAAAATGATTTTATTTTGAATAAAAAGTAAAAATGAAATTATGTTGAGAATCATTTTAGATCTGATTCTGAAATTGCGTTTAGTTAGTTTTTTAAGAGATTGTTTTGAGTATAATAAAAAAGTAAAATCGTATTTAGTTATAATTATTAATTAATATATTATAATAATGTTGATAAGTACTAAAAAAAGAAAACAACTTTGAACCGTTTTTTAATTCCTTCACAAAAGTCATTCTCACCGTTTTCGTTTTCAAAATATTTACTAAACAAACGTCGTTTCGTTTTCATTTTCATTTTTTACTTCTCAAAATATATAAAAACTGTTTTAAAAAATATTTCTAAACACGCACATAATTCTCTCTCTCTCTCTCTCTCTGTTTTTTTCCCCTTATTTCACAACCAACATGGACTGGGTCGGTCTCGGATGCCTATTTTTATAGATCTACTAAAGTTGTTCATCTAGTGTAATTTTAGATAATTCATTTTTGCATTTGAGAAGAAACAAATTAATTCGTGTTGCTTGAGTATTATTATCAATACAACTCATGACATCGATTATTAGCTTAAAATCTGCAGAGTTGATATGCACTTCATAAGATTAAGAAGTATCATTGATATTACATAAAAAAAATAGGTTGAAAACAAAAGGCTCTTAGAACTATCGACCTCCGAATTATTAACATTGTGACAGTTCAATCTTAGCTTTTTTTAACAAATTAATTCCCACGGGGTCTTTGAAAATAAAATTGGCGACAAATTTCAATTTAAGAATGATATTTGTTTGCCCATCAAATAAAAAATTAAGATTTTACAGGGAAAAAATAATAATAAAAGTCAGCAAATGATATATTATTTATATGATCATTTTTTAAAAATTTTAAATATCACGTGATAAACATGTAGTTACTTTCATTAAAAACGCCTCATTTTGTTTTATGGCTGGATCAAAAACGCCAAAAAGAAAATGAAGTTCAAGATTAATTTACTAAAACATCGAGGATTAAATTATAAAAATAAATAAATAAATAAAAAGAAAAAAAATTGTCTAAAAAATCAAGAGAAAAAAAAAAAACCTAAGGGCGTGTTTGGTGCGCTGAATAACCTGGGGTTTATCTCTGTTTGCTATCGTCAAATAGTTGCACACCATGTATATGCGTCATTGCCCCAAAGCCCCAAACCCTTTTTCTTCTTCTCCTATAACCCTCTCTCTCTCTCTCTTTCTGTAAAACCTCTCTCTCTCTCTCTCTCTCTTAAACCCTGTTTCTCTTTCTCTCTCTAGAATGGTAGTACTACGAACGAAGGAAGCCTGGTTTGTTTCCCATTACTTTCCTCTACACACTTATCATTTTATCACGCTTTTTAGTATTTACTTTTACGTTTCAATTTCATTTGATGATAATGAGAAATTGCGTTCTTTTCCTTTTTTGATGATGAATGATTATTTTGATTTTGCTCCAATTGCAACCTTCAATCAAAATAAATGCTTTTTTTTTAGTTGTTTTTCTTGGTGAGAAATTATGGGTCAAACAAAAAAGGTGTAAACTTTGAGCCCTTAGGTTTTAGGTTTTCGGTTTTAGCAGACAACAAATTGAATCAGATTTCAGCCAAGTTTTTTCTGCTATCCTTATCATTTTGGTGAAACAAAATTTGCTCTGGGAGATTTGGGGAAAACAATTCCTTTTTTTCTGTCTTAATCTTAATCTTGTTTGGAAAAATTAGTTGGGTGGCCGGTTTCAGCCATCTATTTAATTAATGGCCTAACTTTTTTTTTTTAAGTTAAATGGTTGTTTTTTTTCAAGTGGTCAAGCACTGATATACCTTAGTTTTAATAAACCGGTTTATGTTTACTAATTGTTTATCAATAATAAGCCGGTAAATTGTTGATTGAAATCGATCAATTATTGACCGATATCATCAATGATAAACCACAAAACTAATCAATGTCAATGGACAAATTTTGTCAATCCCTGTGCAACCATTTCTAAAAAATGTCATTTTCCTAATCTAACAAAACTCGGGTCATTTACTAAAAAAGGGATTAAAAAATGGTCATTTTTGCACATATGCCATCTTGTTTAACTTATGTTGAGCTTTCTTCTGCATTTTGCAGATATGCTGATAAATGTCTAGTAGGTTCAATAATAATTCATGGCTATCGTTGAATCGATACTTGATATTCCTGTTCAAGATCCATCAGAGGAGGAGTTCTCTTCTGCTGATTTGACTTGGACCAAGTTTGGAACTTCTGATCACCATGATGATGTAGCCCTCATTCCTTATGAACGGGTTGATGAATTTATAATTGGAGAATGCTCTAATGTGGAATGCCCGACGCGCTTTCATATAGAGCGGGGTAGGAAACGGTCTATTGGCAGCTTGAAGGAATACAAGGACGATGAATATTTGGAATATAGACTGTGAGTTGTCTTACTTATTAGAGCAACTTTTTTAACTTCATATTTTTTTCCTTATTATTTATTATTTACTTTATCTTTTTCCTATTTGAGGTTATTATATTTATCATGTCATGTGTCATTGGAAGAGTATAGCCCCGTTTGGTTCACTAATGCAAACTGGATTCTCCAGTTTGAGTGGTGAACCAAGTTCATATCCGTTAATACAACTTTCGATTTTATTTCCTGTTCAGATTTTCACCTTAACTGCACATATAAATGCTAATTCGAATTGCTACTTAAACCACACATTACAAATTTTCCATATCAACTCAAGACAATTCGAACCAACGAACCAAACGGGGTCATAGTGCCTTTGAAGGTTTCGAGCTAAATTTGATTTTTGGGTCAGGTTTTCTTGGAGGGAATTTTGGCAACATTTAAAATACTCTTATGTTCTTTCCTTGTAAAATTTCTTGACCTGTATGAAATGGGCTGAAAATGTTGCATATTTTGACCTCAACTTTGGGATAAGTCTTGGTCCTATAACTTTTGGAGATAAAAGTGAACCTTGGTGCGGAGAGAGTTTCAACCACCATATGATTAAACTGTGTAATTATCTGCTTCCAGAATTGCTAAAATTGTTGGATTGGTCCTTTTTCAATGTTAAGGTATTGGTGTTCCTTTGGTCCTGAGAATTATGGGGAAGGTGGTGGTATATTACCTAGCAGAAGATACCGACTTAATACCAGAAATCGTGCTGCTAGACCTCAATCCATGCGAGGCTGCACATGTAACTTTGTAGTGAAGCGGCTTTTTGCTCGTCCATCACTTGCGCTTATTATTTATCACGAGCGACGCCATGTAAACAAATCTGGTTTTGTTTGTCATGGACCACTTGATAGAGATGCAATTGGGCCAGGAGCCAAGAAAATACCATACATTTGTAACGAGATTCAACAGCAAACTATGTCTATGATCTATCTTGGAATTCCTGAAGAGAATGTGCTTGAGAAACACATTGAGGGGATTCAGCGATATTGTGGTTCAAATGCAAAAGTTAATAGCCTTGCTTCCCAGTATGTCCAGAAACTTGGGATGATTATAAAACGGTCTACTCATGAATTGGATCTTGATGATCAAGCTAGCATCCGCTTGTGGGTTGAACGAAATAGAAAATCCATATTCTTTTTTCAGGATTCGTCCGAAACGGATTCTTTCATTCTGGGGATTCAAACTGACTGGCAGTTACAACAAATGATTCGCTTCAGCCATCATAGTCTCATTGCAGCTGATTCGACATTTGGCATAAAGAGACTTAAGGTAACTACTTCATTTATGCTTATTTCTCCAAGCACTAATTCATTTATGCTTATTTTTCCAAGCACTAGACTCCGAATACATAATTTCTTGATAGATGCCATGATAGAAGGTACTTATTATTTGTTTATTTTATCTGTTTTATATGCAGTATCCTTTGTGCACGCTTCTTGCGTTTGATTCAAGACAACATGCACTGCCTGTTGCATGGATCATCACACGTAGCTATGCAAAGCCTGATGTATCTAAATGGATCAAAGCTCTTCTCGATCGAGTTCGTAGTGTTGAGCCTGGATGGAAGATCAGTGGCTTTTTAGTTGATGATGCAGCCGCGGAGATTGATCCCATCAGGCAAGATGATTTACTTATTTATTTTTAATTTCTTTCTTTTTAACTCTGCATTAAAATTACGTAGCTGTAAACTATAGTTTTTTCTTTTTCTTTTTTTTTTTTGTTATGGATTTTCAGGGATATATTTTGTTGCCCTGTCCTATTTTCCCTTTGGAGAATTCGTCGATCATGGCTGAGGAACATTGTAAAGAGATGCAGTAATATTGAAGTCCAGAGGGAAATTTTCAAACGTCTGGGTGGAATAGTTTACAGCATTTGGGGAGGAGTTGATTCCCTCCGTGCCTTGGAAGAATTCACACAAGATTTCGTTGATCAAACATCTTTCATGGAATATTTTAAAGACTCTTGGGTGCCTAAGATTGGTTAGATTTCTCTCTATCACTCTTATATATATAAACTTCTCAGGAATGAAAAACTGAGATAGAAAATAGTGACTTCTCGCTTCTTGTGAACAGAAATGTGGCTTTCAACGATGAAAACCTTTCCGCTTGCAAGCCAGGAGGCATCTGGTGCCATTGAAGCATACCATGTAAAGCTGAAAATGAAACTATTTGACGATACACATCTCAGATCGCTACAGAGAGTTGATTGGTTAGTACATAAGCTTACGACTGAGTTGCATTCGAGTTACTGGCTTGACCGCTATGCAGATGAGTCTGATTCTTTTCAAAACATTAAGGAGGAATATGTTGCTTCTACATCTTGGCACAGGGCATTGCAAATTCCCGATTCTGCCGTTACGTTGGATGAAAATGCCCGTCTCTTTGCCAAGGTTCTAAGCCAAAAAGACAGTGGCATTACACGGCTAGTGTGGAACCCTGGGTCTGAATTCGCTTTTTGTGATTGTGCATGGTCATTACAAGGAAACCTTTGCAAGCACGTTATTAAGGTCAATATGATATGCCAAAACAAACAAGATTCTCAACCTTCCATGTCATTTCAGTCGTTCAAAGAGATACTTATGAATCTGTGGAGGAAACCGATGGAGGATTCTGTTGGAATGGACCTGTCCATGGCCTGGACTCATCAGATGGTTGATCAAATTCAAAAACTTGTTGAACTGAACGGTTCCAAAGATATTGGCAAAATAGTTAGTGATCTGCCGTTGAGATGGGTTTCGAAGAAAGGCAGAACACATGTCGGCAGGCCATCAACTATTGGGGTTCTTTCATCCAGTTCTAATGGTACAAAGAATGATGCGCCAAGGAAGAAGAATCGAAAGCGTATAAGATTGTCACGGTTAAGATAATCTATTATTCTGGGCATGCAAACTGCAATCAGCTACACGGTTTTCTCTTCCGAATTGGTCAGGAAGATCATCTTAACTCGGACACTAGTGGTAATTCAAATTTTCCCAGAGCCTGAAGTATGCGGCACATTAACAAGGATTACAACGAACACGACATCGAAAACATAATTTGTTGAATGATGATGATGATCTGTGGGGGAGAGAATTTTGAAGAGGTGCTAAGATTAAACCCAAGATTGCCCTTGCTAGAGAAAGGCAGCTTATATGAATTGCATCGGATATCTGAAGGCATTCCAAGTATTTGGCCATCATAATGTGTATTTATTTATTTATTAATTATATTGCTATTTGGTTGTTACTATATTTTCCCGAGGCGCCTCCTATATGTTATTCATTTAGAAAGGAATATGATAGCAATTCGTCTATTTTGGTCCTTGATGGGTTCTATGATCTTCATGATATCTGTAAATAAACCTTTGATTGGTTTGCCATTTCCTTTTCTTTTTTTTTCCTCTCTCTTAAAGTCCTTGTTTATACCATGGATCATAGTGGGACAAAAGTTGTTTCTAAATCTGTACTGTCCTCAATTTCATATGTTATGAATATCATACGACCAATCAAAACAAAATGTATTTCAATTCAAAAAGAATTGGTCCAATAAAAACAAAATTTATTTCTTTGTAGGTCTAATTTCTTTGTCATCGTTATCCATCTCCATGGAAAATTGGATATATGAGAAATTTTTTCGTAACATGAAACATAGATATGTTGCAACCTTTTAATGCGGGCAGGATCTACAATGTCAGCTCTCAGTTGGGTGGAAGATTTGGTGAATTTTAGTTTAACACCTATATGAGATATCCAATGTTCAAAACTTTTTTTTTTTTTTTTAAAGATAAATGTCCAATTTTAAAGCATCTTTTTCTTGAACCCCCCCTATGCTTAGTAAAACCATGGGGATGTACAGAATCTGTTGATTAACGAGGGAATCCAAGTATTATTTTTTATGGGAGAATTTCTAGAAATATAAATGAATGTGTGTGTGAGAGAGAGAGAAGGCACTTTCCTTGAAAATATGCAACTATAAGCAGATAAATACACAATACTTTTCCTGATTTTTCCTATTCTTAAAAAGTTTTTTTCTTTTTCCTGAGAAAATATGTGATCTTTTGAAAGCTTGGTGCAGCTAAAAACTGAAATCCATCATATTATCACTAATCTCAATGTGTTTACAATCACTTTAGCCGTGTTTGGAATTGATTCCGTTTTTATTTTTTACGTTTTTTAAGAAAGAAAAAATAAAAACGTTTTTAAAACGGCATTTGGCGCAATAAAAACAAAAAACGGAAATGAAAATTATTTTTTGATTTAGTGTAAAATGAGAGAGAAATAAAAAACGACTTTTAGTCATTTTTCATTTTTTATTTTCGTTTTCTCCTCTCTCAAGCAGATAGAGAGAGAGACGTTAATGAGTTTTTTTATACTGAAAACAATCTCTTGATAAAACTACCAAACGCATTTTTAAAAATAATTTCTGTCTGAAATTAAAAACGTTTTCATTTTCATTTTCATATAAAAAAAATCATTTCGAAACGAGTTTCAAACACGCACTCTGTATTATCATCTATAAACTGTGGTATTACTTCTGGTACCCAATAGGTCTTTTATTCTTTTCTTTTTTTTCTTGGTAAATTTGAACATTCTTCTCTTAAAATAAGAAAACTTGTAAGTTTACTTTAAATTTGAGTCCTGTTAGTAATATGTTGTTTTCACACATGAGAAATTAGAGCCACCGAACTCGTCCTGGCAGAGAGATATAAAGCACAAATTTTGATTCCAAAGTGGGTCCAAGAGGCGAGCCAACCACAAAAACTCAAGTGTCATAAACTAAGTAGAATGGAAGAGAAAATCAGAAATGTTTGCCAATAGGAGTGAGGAAATCTCACCTTATCCACACTCCCACCACAATCTTTCATTACACTCATCATCACAATCGCACTCCTTATCAAAAAACTAAAGAAAAGAAAAGAAAAGAAAATCCACAAAACAAAAACTAATAACAAACCAACCAACCCCCCTCTTCTTTGTCTATAGAGTGATTAGATTTTCTTCTTCATTTTCTCATCAAACAAACAGCAGCAATGGCAGCCATGAACTCTAGCGTTTTGGCTTGTAACTATGCCATCTCGGGGACTGGGATGACTGAGCTCAGCTCCAAGGTCACCTCTGCATGCCCACCAGTTGTGGCTGCCCAAAAGATGCCTGTGATCAGGGCTCAGCAGGCCAAAAATTCCGACCGGAAAACCGAGGGACGACGGGCTGCAATGCTCTACCTTGCAGCCACCCTCTTCACCACTGCTGCTTCTGCTGCCTCCAACTCCTCAGCCAATGCTGGTGTCATTGAGGAATACCTTGAGAAGAGCAAGGCTAACAAGGTACCTTTGCTTTTCCTATGCAAGTAAAATGGTCTTCGAAATCCCCGTGTTCGATGAAGATCTTACATAACAAGTTGGTTCCTTTTGTGGTATCAGGAATTGAACGACAAGAAGAGATTGGCAACTAGTGGTGCAAACTTTGCCAGAGCTTACACAGTTGAATTTGGCACTTGCAAGTTCCCTGAGAACTTCACTGGCTGCCAAGATCTTGCCAAGCAAAAGGTAATAATAATTATTTTCTTCTTTATTTCTTTTCTGGGTTCTCATATTTTTGAGATTTTGATTGAATATTGGTTTTGGCGGATGCAGAAAGTGCCATTTATCAGTGATGATTTGGAGTTGGAGTGTGAAGGCAAGGACAAATTCAAGTGTGGTTCAAATGTATTCTGGAAATGGTGAAGAAAAGAATAAGGGCCAGCAGTTCTTTTCATCTTCCATCCATCATGTATTTAAATTTCCATTGAAACAACCTTTATATCCCCTTCTCTTGTAATCTTCGTTTTAAATCTGTTCTCCATTTTCTTTTTCTTTATTCTTTTTGAGTTCTTAGATTTTACTATATCGATTGAACAGACTAAAAAGTCAGTAGTTGACCCTAATTGTCTCTTCGTACATTTTATAGACTGAATTATGGATGCTTAGTATTTTATTTCTGAAGAAAAGCGAAGGAAAACAAAAAAAAAACAAAAAAAAACAAAAAAAGAGGAAAATATCTATTTTGCGTCTTGGGTAATTTGCATAATTCCCAACTAAATTGACATCAAGCTTCCAAATTGATTAAAGTTTAGAGTCAGGCCTCTAACTGTAATCAAGAATAGCTCTGCAGAAGTAGAATCTAGCTGAATTAATACTTTTGAGGAAATACTAATTCCGTAATTGCACATAATCAAACGAATTCACAATTGTGTGTTCATGTACGATTCTTTGTTTTTTCAACCTCTAATATATTTTTAGAAACTCTAATTAGTAATTCCTACTCTAAAAATAATCAAACGAATTTGCAAGTTTCTATGAATTTTATGTTGTCTGTTGTAAGCCACATGAAATTCCATCCAAAAGTCGAAAACTGATAGAAACAAGAGTGTTTCAGATAAATGATATGAATTTCAGCAATGAGACAAATGAGTAGTAGTATTCAATATTTTAATGTTTTCTGTGAAGCCTCTATACATGACATTGCTCTCTTCCTGTTGGGGCTGGGAATAGAAAGACACCCCATTTTCTGGTTCTGTAAGTAAATGAGACTGTGTATGGAATAGAACCGGTAATCAACCCCTTAAAAAATAATCAATGAAAGAATCTCGAAAAAACGCAACCTACCAATAAATTCTTGAAACCAACAGATGGACATGTTGAAACCAGTCCAAGTGCCCCAATGAATTGCATCTTTCTCCGACAAAACAGTACAACGAGCTTGATAATTCAATGGATGCAAAGCAACTCCAATCATGCTCATTTTAGCAGTGTGTTTCGCATCAACTCGACTGCTCAGAGCAAACCCGGTTGCTGCAGCATAATCAACAGAGAACCTCCAAATTCCAAACACAAAATCATTGTGAATTTATCCACAGGCTCACATGCTCGATGCTATGGACACCAGAGCGAAGAGCCACCTTTTTGCAACTCAGGACAGGGTGGCGGAAACACCCCATTGGCATAACCTGAAACTAACTCGCAATGCCATGCTGCGGATTGGCCTAAACCGAGTACTGTGAAGTTTTTAAAGCAAATTTCTTCAAATGATGCACCCTCAATGCCCTTCAATTCAGGGGCTTTCGTCGAATTCAAGCTCAGCACATTGCTGATAAAAATACCTTTCACTTTGGGAACGGCATTACGATCCCATCCTTCGTCGGGGTGGTCATTGGAACCTCTACTGAATCTTATCGGTATTTTGACTCTCTCCATCTTAATGTTGCTTATACTAATGTTTGCTATGTAACCTCCTCTACCCTTATCTGATTTTATACGCACCCCGGCAGCTGAATCCCAGATGTGCACATCCTCGATAGTAACATTTGAAATCCCACCAGACATCTCGCTTCCTATTCCAACTCCAGAGCAGGTCGGAGTAGTACCTGAGACTTTCCTAACAATAATGTTTGAGCTTGGCCAAGCCATTTTGATTCCATACTGGTCCCAACCACTCTTCACCGCTACAAGATCATCCCCACTCTCAATGTAACAGTCTTCTATGCAGACATTGGAGCTTGAATCTGCGATATCATTGTAATGGTCAGACAAACTTTTTTCTTTTGTATTTGGCATAGACAAAGCTTGAAAGTTAAGTTGACTCTAAAGAGAGTAAAAAGGAGTAGCATATACCTGGATCGATACCATCTGTATTTGGAGCATTAAGGGGGGCCAAAATTGTCATATTTTTTACGACAACATTACTGAAACCAACAGAGAAAGGGTTAGGATTTATTGATGCAACCAAGAAAATTGAAGTGAAATTACCAGGAACTGAGGAATTTATAAAGCCAAACCATGGGGAATGTTCAAAGATCCAACAATGAGAGATAATTCAATGTTTCAACTTCCTAGTCTCTTGATGCATAGAAATTTCAATCAAAATTATAAGTGAAAATTTCTTGATGATAAGTTGTAACTTTGATGGTAATAAAACCCACAACTGACTTTCAGCTTTTGAAAAATGATGGATTTCAAAATAAGGAATAATACAATTACAATTCGTTACAAAAGGAAATTTCTTGCTTTCTGTCTTCTGCATGTTTTAAGCTTGATAACTAGACCCAACTCCTCCTTTTGGTTCCACATATTTATGCGTGTGTGAGGACATTCTTTCATTTTTCTCTCCAAACCTTTCACGAAGATTAATAAATAGAAAATAATAATGGACTAACATTCAAAAAAAAAATAAATACATAAAATAACTGCACAAGTTATGGATGACACACCTGCAGTAAACAGGATGGATGGTCCAAAAGGGGGAGTTGAGGAATGTGAGGTTGGAGATGAGAATGTTGTGAGAGTTCATCAGCTCAACAAGATGACCTCTGGTGTAATTCAATGTTCTATTCCACCATAGTTCCCACCACATTTTCCCTTGACCATCAATTGTCCCATTCTGCCCTGCAAAATGCCACAAATTACCCAACATTCATAAATAAATAAACAAAACATAAGTTGGACATACATGCCTTGTAGATTGCACCGACCAAATCACAAAAAGTAAATTAATGGATACAAACAGTATTCTTTTTTTTTTTATAGAATAAATACAAACTGTGTTCTTGTTGCCATTATAAAAGCTTTTTGATATCACCCTTCATGGTTTTCCAAGTACTTAAGTGATTTTGTATAGCATGCAAAATGAAAATGAAAATAAAAACAAAAAAAAAATTATTAATAATAATAATCTCGAATATTTGTACCTGTAATAACAACATTTGTGAGACCATCCCCATGAATAAGGCTTATATGTCTCCCTCCTAATCTCTCTCTCCCTCTTCCATAAGAAGGCAATGGCTCAATTACAGGCCACTCCTCTGGGTCCTATTAATTAAAAAGAAAAAATATTAACTTTTAAGATCAACAACACTAATTATGCCTTCAAAACAAATGAACATAAATCATCAAAGACCTAAAAGATGCTTTTGATTAGATGCTTTTGCATCCTGTCCTAATTCCTAACCTTTCAATTAAAGTATTAATCCAAAAGAAAGCCCAAGTCAAACTAGTAATATAATCACTATAATTATAATATTTGAAACAAGAGAAAAAAAGTGCACCCACTAATTATAATCTTCCAAAACAATAGTGGGAATCAAAAGAATCCCCAAGTTTAATCAAATTTGTTTGGTGGGTATCTCTTTAATAGAGCAAACGGCCACTTTCTAGTTGATTTTCTTTCTATTAGAGATTTCTTCAAAAGGAAACAATAGCATGCCAACACGTGAACCCCACAACGAGTAATGTCTAACTGCACGCCAACCCACAGAATTTTTCTTTCATCTTTTCTTCGACTTAGGGGTTTTTCTTCTCGAATATTTATAAATAAATAAATAAATAAAACATTGGAACATCATAGCAAAACAAATTACAACAATAATAATAACAAACTGGTACTGAAAAGAATAAAAACATAGACGACAAATCTCGAAAATAATCAAATCTGTGTCATTTTCTAATAATCTGACTCAGATCACCGCAAAAATTAGTAAAGAAAAAAAGTTTTCTAATGCACAATTCTCATTCTAGTTTGCGGTATTTTCTGCAAAGTGATATGAATTATGAACCGTTTCTTGTAACATTGTCTACAGTATTCAAATTCTGATGACTCACATTTCCAATCTCCATCAAAACGCTGAAAATACGACAATAATGAGCATTTCATAATTCCTAAATTTACAACATGCAACAATTAATTACTTTAATCAAAGAGCAAACAAAGACTAATTAAATTCTTCAATAATTTTTTTTTTTTAAAAAAAGGAGAGAGAATTCTGGTTTAAAGTTTTTGAATTACCTGAGATCCCAAAATCACAGCACCTTCCTCAAGAAAAAGCGTGAAATTACTGGTGAGATTAAAGCTCCCCGTCAGCCACCTCCCTCGAGGAACGTTTAGCTGCGAACCGCCTATATCTCCGAAACGCCGCAAATACCGTATCGCCTTCCGAAACGTTTCGGTCTCCGACGTCTTCCCGTCGCCGACGCCGCCAAACTCCCTTATTGACACCACCACCTTCCTCCTCTGCGCAGCTACCCCGAAGAATCCGCCGCAGCTCCTCGGATCCTCCGAAGCCACCGGGACTTCCGGAGTCGTCCACCTCGGAAACTCCGTCCTCGTCGCGATTTGCAGCGATACGACGGCGACGACTGTGAGGAGGAGGAGGAGCGTCGCCGCCGATGCCGTCGGCGGCCTGAAGAAGTTTCCGGCGATAGCGCCGTAGATTGACCTTTCGGAATCCATTTTCGCCGACATGCATGAAATTCTCCGGAGAAAATTCGAAAAGTGAAAATTTTGAAAAAAATAAATAAATAAATTCCAATGGATATTCTTCTGTTGAATGGAATGGAACAGTGTGTGTGCGGCGTAAGGCGCACAGCTGTGACAGAGCGGCGCACGTTAGAGGAATATGGCGTAATTATATATATCTATATATACATCTATATATATATAGGTTGTGTTGGGAAACTGTGAGTGGGTGAGTTACGTGAAGAAAGCGAAGTTGAAGGCGTGATTGGAGGTCAAAGGTGGTGGGATGCGCACTGCGCGTATCGGTCCACGTTAGAATTTTTTTGGGGCCTTTTCGGACAAACTTTCCGCATGGAGGCGTGCGCCGGGTCCGGATCCGAATGTTTGAGCAAAAATATGGACCCGGTTCTTTGGCAGTGATGATTGGCTGAAATCTGCTGCATGCAAGCTATTTTATGTACAGAGGATTGGCTAATGGAATTTAAAATGTAAATTGGTTTTGAATTATGTGCAATGTGTCACTTTTGTTTCTTAAATTTTTAATTTTCACAAATTATTTCACAAACTTTGATTGATTCCTGACTACTTTGGTCTATGCCATTAATATCGCAAATGACTTCTTAGAGATAGGGCCTGTTTAGCATTACTTTTAGAGTCTGTTTTAAATTTTTTTTTTAAAAACTAATTATGGTGTTTATCAAAATATGCTTTTGTCTAGAAGTTTTTAAAATTATTGTCTTACAGTAGAATTTGAGAAGCATGTCAGATATTATTTTTGCACAGTAACTTTTACTTTCATTGTCTAAATTTACTAAAATAACCTTAATATTTACTTTTTTTAGGAACAATCTACCCATTTTCACTTCCATATAAAATTAAAATATTTTCTTTTAAATTTTATTTAAAAATTAAAAATCTTTAATAATATCTTATGTTAAATTTTAATATTTTTAACGATTATCATGAACGGGATAATTTGAAAAACAAATTGTTGCAAGTTTGAAAAATATTTTACCCTTGTATAATTTATCTCTTTCAATAAAAGAAATTTATTTTCTAGAGATGTTTTAATTAATAAAATTAAAATTATATTTTTAGTATTTTAGTGTTAAAATATTATGAATATTGACCATAAAAATAGAAATAAAACTAATTATAGAAATCACGTCGAGAACAAGTGAGAAAAGAAAAAGGTTATTGGGCGCCGGAGTGCTAGGTATTGGGTGCCGCGATTGCAGGTTGCTTCCACGGTAGAGAAGATCTCCGCTCACCGACGCGGTGCTAGGAAAGCAAGGCAGCACCGCCATGTCGCGAATTGGTTCAACTTTTAAGTTTTTTTCCTCCTATTTTACACTCTTATAAATACCTCTTTTGTTAGGATTTTGTGTGTGATGATTGTTTGAGAGAAAATAGCAGATTGGAGTAATTCATTTTTAATACTTCTTTAACAAATATAGTGAAATTTACGGTAACAGGATGTAAACAAATTCATGGTGTGATTATGAACCGCTTTAAATTTTCTAACACTTAACAGTATTAATTAGCCAAATGCAAGTCAAAGAATACACGTGGGCAAATCCTATTGGATATATTTAAGTGAAATTATGTGGGCTGTTGCAGATGATAGTGTGGACAGATCTATTTGGCGTTTTATTTTGTCTTCTTGGCTGTTTGGTAGGAGTAAAGTTGTATTTGTCTTGTCTTGGATGGTGCCACGTGTAAATACCAGGAAGTAAGTAACATACGAAAAGTCGGCATTTCCTCGTCAATGACGTCCGCAAAAAGAGCAAATTTCATCTTGATAGCAGGAGAATTTGTATCCCTATAAAACACTTGCTAATATTATCCATAAATTATGGATGCCAATTTGGCAATTTCTATTTTTTTTTCCATACACAAGTTTTTCTAATGTCTCGATATATATATATATATATATATATATTTTTTTTTTTTTTTAAATTTGTTTCGTGGGTTTTACAAGAACAGGGCCAAAAAGAAGTAAAGAAATATATGGTTTTGTTGAAAATAAATTGAAAGTCACGCGAGATGGTATATTAGATCCCTTGTTATTCAAAAATGTGTATTTTTATGATATTATATACAAGTGGGTATTTTTATATTTAAGACTTTAAAAGTAGGCATTTTTTTTGTAATTATTTCGAACAGCTACTCTTTTGGACCTAATGTAGCTCAGCTATATCATCTAAGTATCGCATGTTGAAGATGGGGTTAATTAAGAACACATAATCGGGTAATCATGAAAATACCATCCAATGAGGAGAGATTGGTTGTTAAGTTAATCTCAAAAAAACAAAACAAAACAAAACCAAAAAAAAGGTTTGAAGCTTAAAGTAAAATGTTTACCGAATATTAGTTCTAATTATATTGATTCTCCTAATTATATATTATGCTTTTAGAAGGACAAATTTAGACCCCATTCGTTTTGCAGATTTGAATTGTGTGAGTTTAAAATTATATGTGAATTTTATGTGGTTCAAACTGATGTTTAGTAGTATATGGTCTAAGTATGTATTAAAGTTTGATCAGTGTTTGGTTACAGTATTAGAACTATTAACTTTTAAAAAAATGTGATTAAAAATAGTTGGTAAGAACTTTTGAGATGAATTTAAAAAAATAAAATGGGTTAGAACCTTAAGAACTTTAAAAGCGTAAAGTTGAGTACAACCTTTAATTTCAAGTTCAAATGAACCCTAAAGGCATATTCAAGTTCAAAATATTTTGCAACCATTCACTCTTTAAACAAACAGGAGTTATAGAATAGATGGTGTCAATGTGATCCATTATACAAGAAAGCCAGCACACACATAGTATTCGATCATAATGACGAAGCTTTTGTTTTGTATATATGTTCTATAGTGCTAGCGTAGGGATATGTGCTATTCGTGTAGTGTTGAATGCCACTGACTTGGTGTGGTTATAATATGTCCCTAGTTTTTTTTTTTTTTTTTTTCCTTTTTAGCGCAATTATGTCTGGTCCTAATAAAGTTGCAAGTTTAAGTCGGAACAAACAGGTCTGAAAACTATCACTGTTCACCAGTGCCCAGCCTTGACCTCTAGATTGGGCTTTCCTTTTTAGCGCAATTATGTCTGGTCCTAATAAAGTTGCAAGTTTAAGCCGGAACAAACAGGTCTGAAAACTATCACTGTTCACCAGTGCCCAGCCTTGACCTCTAGATTGGGCCGGACCGAAATTTTGAGGCCAAAAGCTTATTCGATCGGGCTAAAATGCCCTCTTTTTAAAGTTTTTCTTTTTTTTAATACCTAATAAAGTTTTGGGCCAACCCTACGCCTCCGGGCTTACCAACTTCACAAACTCTTTCTTCTTTAAAGTTGGTCGGTTTGGTCTGAAATTTTTATTTAGATCGTCAGTCCAGCCGAGTGGCTTGAATTTTCACCTCTAGTCCACATGAGATCCACTAGTCAAAATAAAATGCCACCACAACAGACAAAACACCTAGCCCTTAAGGCCTATTTTTGCAGCTCATGATATTGTTGTAAATTTGGACTGGGTCATGGCCAGCCACTTCGGCCCAATATCCAGCCCACGTAAGAATCATGATGACCCAAAAATCCTAGGCGGACTTGGGCCAAGTGTAAATATGAACTTGGGCATTGATGTCATTTTGTCCGTGATGAGGACATTTGAGGAACCGCACGTCAAATTCTCTCTCAAGCTTCAAAAAAATTGCTCATTGTCCCCATGCACAAATTCTCATAAATCTACTAGCGAACAGCATTGGTTTTATGAAATGGAAAATATTTGTTCAAAAATATTTCAACCATTGGTTCCTAACATGTAAATGCAATTAGCTAGGAATATGTTTAACCATGATATGGCTCTATCTTTCAAAAGGAGTGGAAATAAACGATGTTTAACATCATAAGAAGAGAAAATTCCACATATTTAAAAGTTTCACGCACAACACAAAAATCATTCAAATTATTACACAAAAATCGAACTTAGAAGGACTACTAAAATTAAGAAAATGAGTTTTTCGTCAATAGGGCAAAACAAATATTACTGATTTAATTTTTATGTGATTCAATCAAATATAATATTCTTAGAAAGATTAAAAAAAGAAAATTTATTTTTGTAAAATCATTATATAAAGAAGACTTCACGTAAAAAGAATAATATAAAAGTTAGACTAGGGGTGAAATTTGGCCGGGTAGGGTCGGTTTTTTGATAAGATTTGGGCCGGCCCGCAAGAATCGGGCTGAGAAAACTGTGGGCCGCAACAGCTCACTTGCTCCCGGAACCCGCACACCATTAGGTTACCTCGGGTCGGCCGGGTTACTTAGGGTAAACCAACTCTAAATTTGTAGTCATAAGTGGTTGGTATCTTACTATCATACTATCAAAAGCCATGGTTTGGGCCTGAATGATTGGGCGAGCCTGGGCTGAACGATTATTGCTGAAAATTTCAGTTTTTTACTAACCATAAAACTGATAAACATATTTAATTAAGTCATCTGACTCATCTCAGACTTCACAATGTAAAATGACGCAATCCATTTATCAAGTCATGTCATATTATTGTGATTACTGTGAGCACGCCATGATACATACATATATATATATATACATGTATATTTTAAGGATTGCAATCTGGGTAGCTACGGCGGAGGAAGTGAGATGAAGAAGAAGAAGAAGTGGCGATGGAGGAAACACTCAGAGAGAAGAAGAGGAACGGCGGAGGAACTATTTTTAAGGGTTTTTTTATTATAAAAAAATAGCTGAAATTTTATAAAATTAGAAAAATGGTCATTTTTTATTAATTAAATAGGTAATCATTGATTGATTAGCGGTTAATCACTGATTGACTTAAGTTTATCACTAATTAATACAATAATTTTTCATTATTAATCAATATTAGTTAATAATTAGTCAAAATTTACTATTAACTATTGAATTTTAGTTAACAAATTACATGTTTATTAATGATAAATCATTATAAATTATAATAACGAATAAATTAATCATTACTTGAAAAAAAAATGCCATTTTATTAAAATAAAAAAAGTTTAGCCATGTGTTTTAAAAAAAAAGGCCATTTACCTGATTTTCTCACAACTATTCTCCTTAATTTATTGAACAACTATCAAATTTTTCTGTCTTTTTCTTTCGT